GCCTCCTACTCAACATCTCCTCTAGGTTGTCTGTCTGATGAGCACTCAAGATCAGCATGTGCCAAAGAAAACTCATCATTTACCCTATTCTTTAACATATCCCTCCATCCATATTTCCCTTTCCAAAAATATGAGGCTGCCATGTCGGATATCTGATAGTGCATCTCTCTCACACTCCACATCCAATCAACTAGAATGCAAACTCCATGAAGGCAGAGATCTTATTTCCTTCTCGATTGCTGATGAACCTCTGGAAACTAATGTAGTGCCTGATACATTGTAGATGCTCAATAAATACTTGTTGAAAGAATAAATAAGTGAATGAATGGCTCTGATCTTTTACCAAGTCTTTTGATTTCACTTTAATTCCATTCATTTCTCCCTATCTCCACTGCTACTGCTCGAGTCTAAGCAACCAAAATCTATCTTCTGTGCCAATTTGTATCCTTTCTTCCTTTCTGCCTCCCTCCAATCAATTTTCCAGACTGCTCCCATGACAATGTTTTCCAAAAGAAAAATCTTATCAAATAACCTTCCTACTTAAAACCTGTCAGTGCTGTCTTATTAATACTAGGAACCCCAAAGTCCTAACTTGACTCACAAGATCCTCTGTGATGTAGACTCTTTCCACCTCTTGAGGTTCATTTCTCACCAGTTGACTCTTCCCTCCCTTTGCTCCAATCCTCTGGTCTCCTACCAATTTCTCAAGCACAAGCATGGCATCTCTTACCTCAGTCCACACTCATTCTGTTCCCTCTGCCTGTAATAGGCTTTCACTTTATATGGCTGACCCCTGTTCACCTGAAGTCTCATTTGAAGGTTTCTCCATCAAAGACAACATCTCAGATCCCTTAGACCAGATTGTTTCTTTGCTTTAAGTTTCTATAGTGGACTGGATATGTTTAGTACTTCTATTATCCTAACCTTCTTGTCTAAAAGCTCATGAGTCAGGGACCCAGTCTGCCAAACACCTAGAACAGTGCTCAATACATTTTAATGCCCTATAGAGGATTGCATTGGGTTTTTTGGCATCAAGAAATAGGTAAGGCTCTTCCTATTGAGAATGGGGTGGATATTGTTTGCAAATCTGCAGTCAAGAAGTTGACAGGTCATCTCTAAGATTTTGTTGCTAGATTGAAATTTAATTCAATGAACCCCACATTTCTTATAAAAGTATGGAATTAAAATCCCATAGGCATAATTTCATCCTTAACAGCTTTTTTGCTTATTGTGTTTTCTTTTTAAATCCAACTCAAATGTCACCTCTCCTGTGACATTTCCCTTCTCTTTCCCAGGCAAAGTTAATTGCTTCCTTTATTCTCCTTCCCAAATATCAGTCAGCTTCATGGTGTTAAAGGAAGAGGTGAAAGCAAATTTGAACACTTTGTCGAGGTTTCTTTTAGATGTGTATGGTTAAGAAATAGACTCTGAGTATCTACATGAAAGGGGTTTTTGCAGTGAGAAAAAGTTACACTATCTTGTTCACCAAGGTATAAAAATATTTGTTTTTATTGAATAATTTCAAGCTTGTGTTCAAATCTTAAGGACATCAAAACAAATAACTCAATTTACAAATCGACAAATGACCTGAATAGACATTTCTCCAGAGATACAAATGACCTATAAACACTTGAAAGATGCTTAACTTTATTAGCCATCAGGGAAATCCAAGTTAAAACCACAAGGATACTATTTCTCAAGCACTAGGATGGCTACAATTTTTTAAAGTGAACAATAAGAAGTACTGGTGAGCATATGAAAAAACTAGAACTCTCATACATTGCTAATGGAACTGTGAAATGATGCAGTCATCCTGGAAAAAAGTTTGGCAGTTCCTCAGAAAGTTAAACATAAAGTTATCGTATGTTGGTTTAAGCAGCTATAAAAAATTACCATAGACTAGATGACTTCTAAATAGTAGAAATGTATTACAGTTCTGAAGGTTGAATGTTCAAGATCAGGCTGCCAGCATGGTCAGGTTCCTGTGAGGGCTGTCTTTAGAGTTGCAGATTGTCAACTTTTCAAACTAGCTGGCTCTCTGGCCTCTTCCTGTAAATGCACTAATCCCATTCATGACAGCTCCACTCTCATGACCTAATTACCTTCCAAAGGCCCCACCTCCAAATACCATCACATTGGGGCTAGGGTTTCAATATATGAATTTGAGGGGGACACATTCAGTCCAATGCATCATATGACTCAGCAATTCCAATTCCCAGACACATACCCAACAGAAATGAAAACATACATCCACAGAAAATTGTGCACCAATGTTCATAGCAACATTAATCATAGTGGCCAAAAGGTGGAAACAGCCCACATATACATCAACTGTTAAATGAATAAACAAAATGTGGTATATCCATACCATGGAATATTATTCAACAGTAAAAAGGAATGAACTATGACTGCATACCAAAGAATCCGAGCACAAAAAGCTACATACATATATGATTCCATTTATATAAAATATCCATAATAGGCAATCTAAAGACAAAAAGTACACTTGTAATTGTCAGGTGGTGGAGAAAGGAATTAATTGAGATTAACTGCTAATAGGCATGAGGTTTCTTTTTGGAGTGATAGACATTCTCAAATTAAATGGAAGTGCGAATACTAAAAATCACTAAAGCATATACTTTAAAATAGTGAATTTTATGTTATGTGACATATATCAATTTTAAAATGCTAAAACAAAAAATTCTTAAGGGCATAATTGTGTTTGGACTAGTACTTATTTACTCAGTACACTTTATGGTCAGTAGTCTACAGTTTCCTCTTTTTTATTGATAAGTAATATTTTACTTATCACATGTATTTGTCGCATGGTACATGTATTTGTTGCATGCATAGACTGTGTAATGATTAAGTCAGGGTATTTGGGGGATCCATCATGTCAAGTATTTAGCATTTCTATGTGTTGGTATCATTTTAAATCCTCTCTTCTAGCTACTTTGAAATATACAATACCTGCTATCAACTTTTGGGGTTTATTATAATTTCTTCTTTAGGAATTGCCAGTTATATGCAGACTGGTTTAGGAATGTGGTATCCCTTATAGAACCATTACTAATGTACAGATTCAATTATGTCAGATGGCTGCATTATTTCTCAGTCAAAACTCTTTCTCAGAGCATTATGGTGATATTTAGCATGCTGTCCTATACAGTATAGACTGTAAACTTAGAGCAAAGACCATGTTCTTTGCATAACCGTACTCCATGTGCCCAAGGCAGTGCTTGGAACATAGCAAGTGCTCAATAAATGTTTTGCTTTAAAGTGATAATACTTAATGAAGGACAATTTTGCCTTCTATGGGGCATTTGGCAATGTCGGGAGACACTTTTGATTGTCATAACTGGAGAGATGTGTGTTACTGGCTGCTAAATGACTTAGAATGCACAGGACAACTTCCTGTGCATTCTTTATTCAATAAAGAATAATCTGGTTCAAAATATTAGTCATGTAGAGGTTGAGAAGCCTATTCTAAATGCTTGTGTGAAAGATTTATGAATCCCTAAAATTAATTCCATTAAAAGATGAAAAAGTAAATGATAAAATCATCCTTGCATTTGGTGCTCACAGTTAATGAAATGTCCCAGACCATATCTTTATAGCTATTAACGAAGTAATCAAATTCGTGGGAGAGGCAGACCATGAGGGAAATCTACAAGGTTGTTTAGCTTCCTGACCTTGACAGAGATATTGTTAACTTGCATAAAATTCAGTACTGTAGCAAAAAGCACATGGTGAAATGTGCATTCCTTTGTATGTTAAAGAGCTCAGAAAACATTTTAACAGTGTATTTAGTATGCGTGAGGAAACAGTCACAGCCCGCCCCCAAAATACACAGTGCAAGTCTTTTCTCCTAAGGTCTGGTAGCGACCCAGTCCTACACGAGGATAGTAAGTGGGTAAACACACAGCAAGCTTCCTCCGTGCCACACTGCTTAGGGGTACTTGGTAGGGGTGAGAGGCTCGCTCTTTCAGCCCTTTAGATCAGGCAAGCTACAGTCTGCAGGCCAAGGCTGGAGGCCTCCTGTTTGTACACAGCCCATGAGCTAAGAACAGTTTTTACATTTCAAATGGTTGATGATGGATCAAAAAGAGAATACTATGTCATGCTTATGAAAATTATATATATGTTATTCAAATTTCAGTGCTCATAAATAAAGTTTTATTGGAACACAATCATGACCATATGTTTACCATTGTCTATAGCTGCATTTGTGCTTAGACAGAGATCTTATGGCCTGCAAAACCTAAAATACTTACCATCTGGCCTCTTACAGAAAGCATTTGCCAATATCTGCTCAACAGTTAAAAAGTTTAGCAAATTTTGTCTCCACAAAACCATGTGGAATGAGAATGAGTCCTGGGCTAAAAATCCCTGACACCAGCTCTGCTGGGGATGTGACTCCACTCCACTGGGCTGGAGTTTCTTTCTCTGTAACATGAGAGGGCTTCACTGAAGGATCTCTAGAGCCCTTCCAGCTCCATAACCATCTATAGCTTGTGATAATTCCAGTATATTCAATGGTTACCAGGTAACAATGGAGTAGAAGTGCAAAGCTCTTGTCTGGGACAAAACCACAGTCAGGGAGTCACACTACCATACTTGGTACTGAAACAGACACAGACCTGGCTAGCCACTGTGCCTATATAGAGCAGATTTGAGCAGTGGGTACTCTATGAGGTTCAAAGACACATATTTTGGGGCACTTTCTTGTTCCCTAATTTTATAGATTGTGTAACCCAATTCTTTTAACCCTGAAAGCAAAGGAAATTGATTAAACTAATAATTGGGGAAGGCTGGCAAGGGATCGTAATAGAGGCTGGCAACCCCAAAATACAGATTTTCAAAATCTAATTTAGCACTTACTGCGGGTTAGTTGAAATTAACGAGGTAATTGGCACCTCTGTGGTTCCTTTAGTAGCAGGGAAGAGTCTCTGTTACCTTTTCTGTTTCCTTGGTACTAACATGTGGTTCTTTATCTGCAGTCCACGGGATCATGGGTTGTTGGCATCGGCACACCAGCCTGGAGTCTGTCACTATGGAACTAAACTAGCCTGCTGCTACGGCTGGAGAAGGAACAGCAAGGGAGTCTGTGAAGGTAATTTTGTAAAAACTCAGACCCTGCATTTGGCTCAATGTCCTTAGGTTTTTATCTGTGACACCACAAGGTCTCACAAAATTGCCAGTGGATTCTTCAAGGATGGATAGCTACCAGTACCCAAGGTCTGGGTTTCTATGAGATCTCTTCTCAGTCAAAATGTAGCTGACACCCTCACACTAGACGTGATTTATCTTAGGAGATTGCCTTGTCAATTATTTTTGTTACTATCTTAGTGACTATGACTGGGTTGTTTGTTTTGGGTTTTGTTTTTAATCTGGAGGAACTGAGATGGATAAAAACAAGGTCAATAAATTCCTCCTCTGAATTATGCCAACTAATTTCTAATGAAATCCACTTTTTAAGTATTAATCACCCAACCAGTATTTCAGCAGCAAAAAGTAAGCCTTTTACCTCATAGATTTGTTACTCACATTTTTTAAATCCATAGTAACAGTTTCTAAATGTTTTCATGGAACACATGCATGTATGCAAAGATTTTAAGTATCTTGCTGATTCTTTTGTACAAATTGCAAACTAAGGAACAATAATTTGCCTTAGCCATTGTTTCTCAGACTGTGTTAGAAAATCCAAGAAAATCCTCTGATCATTTCAAGAAGGCTGGAGAGGGGAGAGATGAGCATAGCTTTTGCCTTGTTTTGCTTTTTATGATGTTCCATAATGACCAACGTTTGCAGTGTAGAGAAATCAAATCCACATTCCTAGTGACTGGCCGACCAAGGGTACATTTCTTCAGGACAAGAATCTGGTCTTACTGTCCCCATAGTTTCTTAGTGACAGGATGGCAAGAGCATAAAGATGCTAGGAAAAAAAGGAAGATCATCATTGCCCACTTAGATAAAGAAAGTTAGATGATCCCCCTGGGACCTATGTCAATTAAAAGTTGAATCCTCGCCCTGATTGAATTGATAGTGTCATGATCAAGGGCACTAAAAACCAGACTTTTAATGTGTGTGACCTTGGACAAGGTTGGTAAGCCATCTAAGGATCCATTTCCTCCTCTGCAACATAGAGAAAGTAATACCTACCTCCAAGGGAAAAGAATGTATGCATTAAATGCTGTGCTCATTACCTAGCACGCATAGAAAATGCCTCATAAATTACCACTGCTTCAGGAAGGACCAATAACAGACTTCTGTTCGTTGAAACACCAGGTGATGGGGGGATTACATGTGGCTTTATTCTTTTTCTAGACACAATGGAACATATTTTTATTTGAAGTCAGTCAGGTGGAAAGGGGCAAAAACCATGTGAAACTCATGATTTAAAATCTCTTACAGTCACACAAACCTCAGCACCTACTGCCATAAAACTTGTAAGACCCGGTCTGTCGCTGGGGAATAAATAAGGACAAGCGTTGGCTTTCTGGGAGGGCTATTCTGTAACTAGATCAGAGCAGTTTGGCCATGGTAGAGGCAGTCAATCACGTTGTCACTATACAATATCACAAGCATGGAAGAATTTGAAGCAAGATGTTAAAAGGCAAGTACAGAGGGTTCAGGTAAAACGTTCACTATGCAAGTTTTGCAAGCTGATGAGATTGTCCGCCCTCCTCTCCTGTCCCATTCAAATGTCCAAGTTGTAAAGTACAATGATTTTATATCTAAAATGTATATCATATTTCATCCAATTTACGTGATCCTTCTTGATGGTAAAGTCGTATGTTCCTAGAAGTATCAAATAACAGGGTAGTTTGCTGGGATGCTGATTTCTGAGCCAGAGTGTGGGCTGCATGGTAATGAGAACACACATCAACCTGCCCAAACAAATAGAGCCAGACCCCAGGCTCTGCAGTCCTGACCCTCCCAAGTCTTTCCCTCCATGCATCTATTCGTCCATCAGTCTTCTCAAGGCCCTGCCTCCATGCATGCTGGAGCATTTTTTTCTTTTTTGAGTTGAGGAATTACTTTGTCATCCAGGCTAAAGTGCAGTGGCACAATCACTGCTCACCCCTGCCTTGACTTCCTGGGCTCAGGTGATCCTTCTGCCTCAGTCTCCCGGTTTATTTTTTGTTTATTTGTTTGTTTGTTTGTTTGTTTGTGGAGATAGGGTTTCACTATGTTGCCCAGGCTGGTCTCAAACTTCCAGGCTCAAGCAATACTTCTGCCTCAGCCTCCCAAAGTGTTGGGAATATAGACATGAGCCTCTGCACCTGGCTGATGCTGGAGCTTTCCAACTCTCGGCCTCTGTCCTGTGTAAATCTGCTCCCAGGGCAGGGTCTGATCAACTCAATATTAATAACTTTAAAATGTATGCCACTTTAGCAAGATGGAATATCAAGTTGTCTACAAACAAATCCCAACTAAAAAGCTGCTGATGGAGGCGTTTTGGGGAAAACTGAATAAGAGACTTTTACATTGTTTACAGCGTGCTTCAATCTCAGGCCGTTTTAAACACAAACTGAATTTCTCTTTGCTGTGGATTGGCTCTTCCAGTCACAGATCCAAAGTTACTGTAAATTGAAAACATCTTTCTGAAGTTTTGACCTTATAGCAAGGGTATTATTCACCATTTCTCCTATGTTCTATTTGGCATTTATCCTGGACTTTCCTGTCTGGACCACACTGGAAATCAGTTTCCAGCAAACAGCCAGAGGTCTTTAGAACTTTTTTAAAAATCTATTTTTCTAACACATGAATTTAAAGCTACATCTCCAAGCACATATCCATAACAAAATAGACACTAGAAATTAAATGTTTTCTCTTTTGTCTCTAAAAGTGGAAAACTTTGCTAGGAAAACATTTTCCCCTGTGATTTGTTCAGGACCATAAAATGTTCCCCTGGTAAAAGTTCTACAACTGTTAGTTTTTTCAGTTGAATATCTACCATGCTTACAACACTATATTAAATTCTACAGGAGAAACAATAATGAATGTTTAAGGCCCTATACTGAAGGCACTTGGAAGCAAGCAGTAGATAGAAGTCAAGGCTAGTAGCCAAATATATACCTCATTATTTAATAAGACAAAACTGATCAGCTGCACAGGAGAAGTCTGCCAAGATTCTGGGCTGTTCTCAAACTTGAGAAGAAGTTCACAAGTGGCTGGAGAAATCTGTAAAAACTTCTAGAAGAAGGAGCTATGCAAGGTGGTCCTTGAAGAATGGGGAGAATGTTAATCACTGGAGGGTCTGGGAGGTGTACCTTAGGGAGGGGGTAGGAAGAGAGAAAGCAAAGGATAGGTCTAGGGAGCAGCAAGCAATCGAGTTTGGCTACAGTGTTACCTATGTCTAGGGAGGCTGGAAAAGAAGATAGAGGCCAGATCATGGTGTTGAACTTGGTTGTGATACCTGTACTATGTTCAGGAGGGAACAAAGATTATTTGATGACCTCTGTACAAAGTATGGCATGATAAGAGATGCGCTTTTAGAATAACCATTTAATGTCGTGTTATTCTAAAATAACAGGAGCAGATCCTGAAAGAGGGTTTCTTGTACAAATATTCTGTTGAAGGATGTCTTAGGAGAAGTCTGTAAGAGAGTGAAGGAGCAAGGGAAGAAGGTAGGCAGAGATGTGCTATCAAGAGAGTCTAGCTTTAGCCTGATCCCACAGGGACCTCTAGGGCATTAATTGCACCATAGAGTTCATCCTACCACCAAACAAGGAGCTAGGCTGTTAGACCACTGCATCAGTGGGGAAAGTGAGGAGAGAGACGGGGAGCCAGTGTCACCTCCTAAGTATCTGTGACAAGATGGTTCCCATTAGCTAGGCAAATATTTGTTCAGTGAATGAGTTGGTGGTAGAAACAAGGACAGGATGTTGTAACTGATTGGTCTGGAAATAAGCAAAAGTAGATAACTGAGATTCTGAGTCTAGGTAACTGGGAGAGGAATGATGGCATTAACAAAAATTAGGGTACGAGGTTGTAGGAAAAGATGCTGGAATCTTTACTTTTATTTTTAATTATTTATTTAGTCAGAGTCCCACTTTGTTGTCCAGGCTGGAGTGCAGTGGCACAATCATGGTTTGCTGTAGCCTCAAAACCCTGGGCTCAATCCATCACAGACAACACCACATCCAGTTTTTTTTTTTGGAGGGGGCGGTGGCTAGAGTCTCACTCTGTCGCCCAGGCTGGAGTACAGTGACATGATCACAGCTACTGAAGTCTCAACCTGCTGGGCTCAAATGGTTCTTCCGCCTCAGCCTTCCAAGTAGCTGGGACTGCAGGTGTGTACCACCATGCCAGGTTAATTTTTTGATTGATTGTAAAGACAAGGTCTCACCATGTTGCCTAGGCTGTTCTCAAACTCCTGGACCCAGGCAGTTCTCTCACCTTGGTCTCCCTAAGTGCTGGACATACAGGCGTGAGCCACTGTGCCCGACCTGGCTAATCTGTTTGTTTGTTTAATTTGTTGTAGGATTGAGGTCATGCTATGTTGCCTCGACTGGTCTTGAACTCCTGGGCTCAAGCCATTCTTGATTCTGGGACTTTTAGAAACAGGACTGCTTAGAAGCATCATTCCTGGGCAACTGCTGAGTCATTCTTTCACCCTACAGCTATTTCCTGAACTCCTACTAGATCCAGAAACAGAATTCTTGATACCCTAAGAGTTTCCTGACTCTGTCATTTGTTATTTCTTCGCCCTCTCCCTATCTACTCTTAGGATTTTTCCCATTTTCCTTTTTTCTATGTAAACTATTTTTTTCCTTGTCTCTTCCTTGAGAGCAGAACTCAAACTATCATCTTTTGTTGTGTTTTCTTGTCCCCAACTCAATCAGTTGCAACATCCTATTCCTGTTGTTTCTCTCATCACTTTATTCATCAAACAAATATTTATTGATATCTGTTTTATTACTTTGTGTCAGATGTTGAGATAGAGAAGCGAATAAGACAGACAAACAAATCCTTCCTTTGCTGTGCTTCCTCATGCGTCCATCATCATCATCATCATCATCATCATGCTTTTAGTTCCCATCCTTAGAGCTGGATATAGCATCTCCCTGCCTCCAACCTGTAGATCGTTCAGTCTGACTGATAACGCAGAACATTAAAAAAGATTTTGATCATTCAAAGGAAAAAATAGAGAAAGTATGGAGGAGACAAAAAAAGGGCAAGAAATAGAAAGAAAGGGAGGAACCTTGGCACTTGTCCCAGGGTTACTCTGGAGTCTCTTCCAGTCCAAACACTATACTTCTTTTATTAAAGGTTTTGTGCTTATATGCAAAACTGGCTGACTGTGGTCTGGGAGGTTTTATATTTCATTGGCTACCACTGATGTCATGGCAGTGCTAAGCAAAGTCACAGTAAACTTGCAAGTGTTGGGTGGGAGAGTGGTAATCTCGTTCACAAACAAAACACTTTCCGGTGTCTGAAAGGTGAAAGCGGACTAGAGAGGAGGCAGATCATCCCCTATACACCTCCACGGAGTGCTCTGCCATACAGAAGGTGGCTAATTTGACGTGCATGCATTTCCCTGTACTAACTACTGAGTAACTACTAACTACTCCTCTTTTTTATCATCAAGAAATCTTTTCCTTCCACAGCTACATGCGAAACTGGATGCAAGTTTGGTGAGTGTGTGGGACCAAACAAATGCAGATGCTTTCCAGGATACACCGGGAAAACCTGTAGTCAAGGTCAGTACGACAGCCCAAGGACATAGTACAAATTCAATCATTGCAGCTGGGTTGGTGACACCACATGGTGCACAGGATTTCTTCAGTTTTTTCTTTCTTTCTTTCTTTCTTTTTTTTTGAGTCAGTGTCTCACTCTGTTGCCCAGACTGGAGTGCAGTGGCACGCTCACGTTCACAGCCACCCCAGCATCGACCTGCTGGGCTCCAGCAATCCTTCTGCCTCAGCCTTCCAAGTAGCTGGAACTACAGATGCATGCTACCACACCCGGCTAATTTGTGATTTATTGTAGAGATGAGGTCGCGCCAAGTTGCCTGGGCTGATCTCAAACTCACGGGCTCAGGCAATCTACTTACCTTGGTTTCCTGGCGTGCTGGGATTACAGGCTGAGCCACCAAGCTCGGCCTCTTCAGTTTTTTAAAAGTCAAATCTTCAAATGAAAGTGGTTTCAGAACAAGATTTTTCAATCTCTTCTTCTTGAAAAAATATAAAAATTCTGTTGTTTTTGTCAAGATGCTCAATAAAAGGCCCCCTTTTCAGACATAATTTTATTGTATTTTAAAACTACCTAAGAAATGCATATTTTTATTTTAAAACTCCAACAATGCAAAAAGACATAAATTAAAAAATGAGAGTCTCCACCACTAATCGTTACTATAACCATAGTTGGGGTTGTTCAAGATCCTTGAGTCCTTTGCTCTGAGAATACAAGCACTAGCCTCATAAGCATCTTTCCATGTCAGCACATACAGAGTGCCCTTATACTTTTTAAGGCTGTATTCTAGTCCCTGCTGTAAATACTTTTATCATTTATGCAAAAAAGTTTTATCTAACCATCATCATTGATGTTGCTTTCAATCTTTTGCCATCACAGTGTTATTCATATCTTTGCACTCGTGATTGAGTATTTATGTAGGATAAACATCTAAAAATGGAATTATTGGGTTGAATGATGTGTATATATTTGTTGCAATTGATATATATATTTTTTTGAGTTTGAGTCTTACTCTGTCGCCCAGACTGGAGGGCAGTGGCCGCTCCCAGCCACCGCAGCCTCGACCTGCTGGGCTCTGGCGATCCTTCCGCCTCAGCCTTCCGAGTAGCCAGAATTACAGGCACGCACTACCACGCCCGGCTAATTTTTTGATTTTATTGTAGAGATGAGGTCTCGGCTGCCCAGGTGGGTCTCGAACCCGTGGGCTCAGGCAATCCACTCACTTTAGCCTCCCAAAGGCGCGGGATTACAGGCCGGATATCTTTTAAAAGACAACTGTAACTTTTGTCATAGACTGTTTATCTGAGGATATTTAAAAGTTTATTTATAATATCTAGAACAGTGGTTCTCAATCTGGTGATTTTGTCCACCAAGAAAAGTTGCCAGATAAAATATAGTTAAAATTTAAACAACAACAATTTTATAGCATACATATGTTCCAAACACTGTATGTGATGTACACATTTTTAAAAAACATTAGTCATTTATCTGAAATTCAAATTCTGTATTGTTATGTTTTGTCTTTTTGTTTTTGAGACAGTGTCCCACTATGTTGCCAAGGCTGGAATACAGTTACTGCAGCCTTGCACCCCTGGTCTCAAAGCAATCCTCTGGCCTCAGCCTCTCAAGTAGCTGGGATTACCGGCACATGCCACTGCACCCAGCTGAAATTTGTATTTTATTTGCCAAATCTGGAAGCCTAACCCCAGGGGACGTCTGTCAGTGTCTGAAGACAGTTGGAGGGGGTGCTACTGGCATCTAGTGGGTAGAGGCCAGGGATGCTACTAAACATCTTACAATGCACAAGACAGCCCCCACAACAAAGAATGATCTGGCCCAAGATGTCAACAGAGGTTGAGAAACCCTGGCATAAAGAAACATGCAATAATTAAGAAAGGTTGCCTAGTCCTATCATGAAGTTGGGCAAAGAGCAGCAAATCAAGTTCAGCTGTCCATCAGAAAGGCTGCTAGAAGAGGGGAGAATGGAGCTTCAGAGAATTCTGGGCACCCACTTCACTCTACCATTCCCAACCCTTGCTGCCAAGCCCAGAGATTAGCCCCGTACACTGAAATAGCTGTTCTTTGAACCAGCCCTGCAGCCTCAGCGAGGAATCTCTGACTCTCTTATTTCCTACTACCAGCATAGACACCAGAGCCCTGAAGGTGCTTCTTAGAACTGCATCCAACTGCTTGAGAACAGTGCATCAAGAATCATTCTCTCATAAGTGATCATCCAGCTGTATCCATTACCAGAGGTTTTACACCAGAAAACTTGCTTTTCCATATGTTCTGGATTCAGTGCCAAGATACCTCCTCGAGAGATTTGAAATAGAGATGACATTTTGCATTCTAGTTTTCATTTCACAGTAAAATGTTAATGTTGAGGGAGTGGTCAGGTTGGCTCAAGTTTGGGGGCAGTCTGTCTTCCCCCCATAGCCTCTCTGCCCCATGGCAAACTGACCAAAGTCCGACAGGCCCTCAGTCTTCAAGTGATATCTTTCCCAAAATGCTTCTTCCAAGGGACAAGTGAGTCATTTCTCAAGCCCCCTTTTGAAGTGGATAGGATCTGTGAGAGAGAAGACAGGATAGAGGGAACAGGCGATGGAGAAGAGGGTTTCAAACATCCAGCTAAGATGCTGGAAAATCCCATAGAAGGATCTTTTCAGAGACAAAAGCAGCCATTCTTTTCAAGGATCTGTTGCCATGCTGATTTTTTTCTTACCCAAAATTCAGGGTTTTTTTTTTTCTCTGTGTCATCCTTGGGGACCACATTTCCAAAGACAAGATCCCCTACCCATGATCCCTTTTAAAATTTTATTTTTCTTCTGTATTCTTTTTAAGTTGTTTTGTTTTGTTTTGAGTCAGGGTCTTACTCTGTCATTCAGACTGGAATGCTGTGGCATGATCACAGCTCACCCCAGACTCAACCTCTTGGGCTCAGATGATTCTTCTGCCTCAGCCTCCCAAGTAGCTGGGACTATAGGCACTTACCACCATGCCCAGCCTCTATTTAACTTGAATAAACATGTTATTTATTCTTACATTTAATTTGTTTAAGAAAACATTGAAAAGCACAGAGAAAAAAAGTCACCCTCAAGCTAACCACCTGAAGATAACCATTAGTAGCATTTAGAGTATATCCTCTGAGGCTTTTTTCTATGTATTTTTTAAAAACAAATTTGGGGTCAATCTGTACACATAGTTTTGTAACTTTCTTTTATCATTTAACAGCATCCTGTAAACATCTTTACATGGGATTAAAGGCTCCCTCTAAAAGGATGTAAGCCAAGGCAATTTGGCCAGTGTGGTACCACCTGAAATAATAATAATTGATAGGAGGCTGTGCTGTCAGCATCTGTCATAGGCTACTTGGGATAGCATGAAAGGCAGAAATAGCTACATTATTTATTTCTAACTTTTTGTTTAAGCAGTATGCACATGTAACCAGTATTCAGATAAAAAAAAAAAAAAAAACCACACATAGAAACTTGGGCCAGGCACAGTGGCTTATACCTGTAATCCCAGTACTTTGGGAGGCCAAGGCCAAAGGATTGCTTAAGCCCAGGAGTTTGAGACCAAACTGGGCAACATAGCAAGACATCATCTCTACAAAAAATACAAAAATTAGCTGGGCATGGTGGCATGCACCCAGAGTCCCAGCTACTTGGCCGGGGGGGAGGGCTGAGGCAGAAGGGTCGCCTGAGCCCAGGAGGTCAAGGCTGCAGTGAGCTGTGATCATGCCGCTGCACTTCAGACTGGGTGACAGAGTGAGACTCAAAAAAAAACAAAAACAACAACCCAGAAACTCGACAGCCTCCAGATTACTATTCATGCCCCGCTTCCAGTCACTTCCAACCTCAACAAGAGAACCATATCTTGACATCTTAATATCACAGGGTAGCTTTGCCTGTTTTTATAATAACTTTATAAAGATGGACTACTCATACAGTATGTACGTGTACACGTATGTATCCAACTTCTTTCACTAATAGGATCTTTGTGAGATTCGTCCACTGTTGCCTGTAGTTGTCGTCTGTTCAGTCTCTTTATTGTATAGTATTTCATTGCGTGAATATATAAGTCATTTATCTATCTTTCTGCTGAGGGATATTTAGGTTAATTCCAGTTCAGGGCTATTAAAAATAGTACCATTATAATCATTTTAGTATGTGTGGGGGTTTTTTTGGTGAGCACAAATCCATGTCTCTGTTGGGTATACACCCAAGATGGAATTGCTAGGTCTTGAGCATGTCTATATAGCTTTACTAGATTCTCCTAAACAGTTTTCTAAAATGTTTGGACAAATTTACATTCCCTCCAATGGTGTATGATCTCCATTTTCCCACATTCTCATCAATTCTTCAAAATAGAATGTTATGGTTGGAGCGGAGGCAAGTAAGTGGTGGGTCCAGAAAAGCCAACCCAGTTGTTCTTCCCGAGCTTGGAGTCTAATCCCCATCTGGATGTTTTGTGATTCAGTTAACCTTTCTTGGTTTTCTGACTGCCCTTTCAGATGTCAATGAGTGTGGAGTGAAACCCCGGCTGTGCCAACACAGATGTGTGAATACACATGGCAGCTACAAGTGCTTTTGCCTCAGCGACCACATGCTCATGCCAGATGCCACGTGTGTGAGTAAGTTTCAACAGCCTGACTGCTCTCAGTCAATGACTGAGGCTTGACTTTAGCCATTTGATCCTTGAGAAAAAGCTGACTTCGGTAATTAAAAAAAAAAATCTCTAATATCACCCTTGTCTAAAGTATTTTTGGGCACTTAAAAAAATTATACACAATGGAGTATTATGTAGCCATAAAGAAGAACAAAATCATGGAATTCACATCATCATGCTTAGTGATCTATCACAGACACAAAGAACTGAATACTGAATGTTCTCACTCATAAGTGGGACATGTACTTTAATCACATTAGCACAATGAAGGGATTGGCAGTCAATAAACACTGACAAGAGAGGGAGGGAGGAGGCACACAGTTTCACAAAGCATACCTGATCCTAAACCAGGGGAAGTGAAGGCCAGTTGGAGGTCCAAACTCCCTCTGTACACGGCCTCCTTGTGTAGCTAACCCTGACTTGTACTCCACATATTTATAATAAAATAAAACATTAAAAATATTATGGTAAAATACATATAACACAAAATTCACCATGTTAACGTGTGCTATTCAGTGGCATTTAGTACACTCACAATGCTGTAAAACCATCACCACTACTGAGTTCCGGAACATTTTCATCACCCCAAAAGGAAACCCAACTCATTAGTCGTCACTCCCTACTCCCCCTCCTCCACCCCTGGCAACCAAGAATCTGCTTTCTGTCTCTACAGATTTACCTATTCTGGACACTTACTTTATAAATAAAAAGGCTAACTGGAGAAAAATAAATCCTATCTCCATATCTGCTTCTGTGTATATATATATACAGGAACCTATTGGGTTTCTTCATGAAAATAAACATGTTGAACAAAATAAACATAATGTTTTAGGGAGGTAATACATTTAAATCCCATCTCAGGACATCAGTTCTTCCCACCATCTACCTTTCTCATGCCCCTTGACCCACTCCCAGAGATTAGTAACACTTGTTGGAAATACATTCCAACTCACTGACATTCCTGAAAAGAAAAGCCCTTCTGTGATAAAGGAAAACCCACGTCCTGTGGGAGGGTCTATATCCATTCATTTATTGGGAGGGGAGGCTTTTCAGGTTTTATGTTGCAGCTGAAAGGCAAACCTGCCCTCCCTGCCTGCCTTCCCTCCTCCCATCTTCTCTCTCCATCTCTCTTTTCTCTACCCTGCAGCCCCCACCCCCACCCTCCAAACCCAGAACCTTCAGCCAGCTCCCTGTGGTTTCAGAGTCGCACGGGCTCCCCAGCCCATCCTGGGCTTTCCCAAGGTTATAAAATCTTGCCTAGTACATGGCCCACTGCCTAATGCATGGCTCACTGCTCTCCAGGCTCCTCCTTGTCCAGTCTCTCCTTGGCAAAGTGCCCCAACACCACCAGTCATTTAGATCTTCTGTTAGTAAGCAAGCCTAAGAGAAGAGCAGGCATTCGATGGATCTTTAAAAAAATTCTTTTTATATAAATTAAACAGAAACCCACACAAAAAAATGCACAGTTTAATGAATTCTTATAAGGCAAACACCCTGTAACCACCACCAAATAGAACTTTGCCAGAACCTTCTACCTCCACCTCCCCCTAAAGGGAATCACTATCCAGGCTTTTGTAGTTATCACTTACAATTTTTAAAAAGTATATGCTAATGGATGATTCTGAAACATTTCATGGAAGCCCAATCAGGGCCAAAAAAGATATCTTTCCTCAAATGGAAAGACAGAAGTAGGCCAACATCAACTATTAATTTTAAGAGAAGACAGCTAAAGGAAAAGAAACAAGAATAAATGAGTAATGTAACCTCCTGTAGGTGTTGGCTACCTTACATTGTGTCTCTATCCCTGTGCCCTCTGTCTGTTTCTACATATCTAGGGGTTACCTGGGCCTCCTTGTTTATAGCTCAAAGTATCCAGGTAGCCCTAGACCTCTCTCCTAGGTGCTGATTTTATTCCACCTGAGCCCTTGGATCTCTCTTGTCCATTTTGGTGATTGGCATGTTATGGAAGGGTGTGGATGGAGGGAGTATATTCACTGTGCTCTCTGTTGTGGACATTGGGTTGGACTCATGTAAGCTTCTTAGCCCCTATACATTTATGATTCACATGTATTGGACCCCTGCTAAGGGAATACGTTTTTGTGAGACAAGTTACATTTAGCAACAAGCCACAAAAAATCCAACTAAAATACCTCGTCATTTAAAAAGCTGGAGGCAAGCCATTCCAGAGCAACTCAAGGACTCAGTCCCTGCCATTTTGAGAGTATTGGTTTTATTCTCATGTTTGTGGTCTCATAGTCATAATATGGCTGCTCCAGCTCCAGATATCACACACATGGAAAGTAGACAAAGAGAGTAAGGGGTGATGCCAATGAACCAATGCTTATTTCATGCTTGTCTCTTTAATCATGAAGCAACAGCTTTTCCAGAAGCCCTATTCCCTCCAGTGGACTTACCATTATATTTCTTTGACCACACTAGGGTCACATGGCCACTCCTTGCTACAAAGGGAACTGGGGAAAAGCTAAGTATCTGACTATCTAGCTTCAATGATGGAAATGGAAGAGAAAACCGGTCCAGAATGACTTTCAGGCAGTTAATCAACCTCCCACACCTTTTAGCACAGGCACCTAAAAGACCAAGTCTTGTGAGTCAAGTGACTCTCACTGAAGCTAGATATCCTTAGAGAGTCTCTAGAATTATTTTACCCTAATAACTGAGGTTGGTAATCTACATCAGCTGTTGCATTTCCACCTATAGAGGCCAACCATGTGACATAAAGGAGTGACTAGGGCACACACAAGAGGAAAGAGAGATGCAGTCTGTGGGTGCATGCCTTAGCTAAAGACAGTCAAATTCAATGCGGTGGCCAACTTAACAGACTGTGGGTGGACTTCAACCCAGGGACCATCAAGATGCCACCACAACTCAGATTCATTCGTTTTGGCTTTCCATTTGGGACACAGACAATAAAACTTTCTCATAATGCCATTCTACCTGTTCCATTTAATGTCCTAGAATTCAGAGGTAGTTTCTTAGTAGAACTTTTTATCATCTCAAGAAGGAATGGCTAACCTTTGTCTACTCTTCAGACTCTAGGACGTGCGCCTTGACAAACTGCCAGTACGGCTGTGAAGACACAGAGGAAGGGCCAAGGTGTTTGTGTCCATCCTCGGGACTCCACCTGGCTCCAAATGGAAGACTTTGTCTAGGTAGTACAGCAGAAATTGCCTCCACCACTCATTCTCCTTCCTTGACTCCCCCTTTACTGAATTCCTCTTTTTTCATTCTTCACAATCAGCTTGTTGACTAGACATTGCAAACTTCTAAAAGTACAGATTTATGTCTATTTCTGAGATAATGTTTTTAGCCATATATGCTCTAAACATACTTTGGGATGCTAAAAAGAACATTTCTCTATTTTTTTAGATTGTCTAGTGCCATTGTGGGAAAAGGATAATTTTATGTCTGTATATCTACTCTGCACATTTAACATCAATTACCGTCCAATCGAAACTGCACTACTTATATATTGTCATTTAATGAGTAAGGGCCATTGGGCTTCATTCTGGGTATTTTCCTGGAAAAATGTATTTACTTATTTTTTAGGTATAACATTGTTGAAAATAAAACATACTTTCTGCATTAAGTTAGCATGTAACCAATTTCACATTTTATTTATTTATTTAAGTTGGAGTCTCACTCTGTCACCCAAACTGGGGTGTAGTGGCATGGTCACAGTTACCAAAGCCTTGGCCTGCTAGGCTCAGGTGATCCATCTGAGCCTTCCAAATAACTGGTATTACAGGCACACACCACCTCACCCAGTTAATTTTTTGTAAAAATTATTGTAGAGACAAGGCCTCACCAAGTTGCCCAGGCTGATCTTGAACCCTTGAGCTCAGGCAATCCTCTTGCCTCAGCCTCCCAAAGTGCTGGGCTTACAGATGTGAGCTACCACGCCCAGCCTTCACATTGTCTTTAAAAATTACACTATGCCAGGCAGAAGAACAGCCTGAGGCCAGAAGGTCAAGGCTTTGGTGAGCTGGGATCATGCCGTTGCACTCCATCCTGGGAGACAGTGAGACCCCGACTCAAAAAAAAATCCTTGCTCTAACTTGTATGAACTAAGTGTTCCATAATTAATTCTGATTGAAGAAAATGAGCAGAAAAAAATCAATAATGTTAATTAAAGGAATACATAAAATCTTCATTTATAACTTTGAATGTAGTCAGATCCATTGGTTTAGAACTTTGCTCTCTTGCTCTCCCCAAGCAAGTAGTTCATTTTGGAAGTGATTCCAGGAAACACTGGCTGAGGAGTAGGGAAGTGACCCAGCTGACCCAGGGAAAAGAAGGCACCAGTGACCAGTGAATTCAGTGAACAGGTTAAATAAACTGGGGGAAGCTGCCTCTGAATTTTCCCCCTGGGACAAGGGTGCTGGGTATTTATCTACCAACTCCTACCCTTTATTGATGGGCACTGCTGCGGGGTGTGACACCCAGCAGTCTCAGCCTGGCTCAGGTGGGAATCAGAGCAGAATGTTGCCTGTGCAGCAAGCAGCCTTTGAAAGGTATGGAAACTTAAGTGCTGGGGGGCTGTGGGTGGGGAACCCACGGGACGCCCTCGGTGACTGAAGCAATCACTTTATTCACTTTGTGCTTTGGTTCCTTTGTGGATTTGAATTGTGTTCAACCACCAAATTGTATATACTCATAACAATTATATTGCACAAAATATACATAATATTTAGAGCAAGTGAGCCCATAACATTAATAAGGAATGCCAAACCAAATCAGAATGGTGAAAAAGTTCTTAATCTCCTTTGATTTAAATAAACAAATATCATCATGATTTCATAATCTCCTTCAATAAAATGGAAATATTTTTCAGTCAAGGTGCTGGATGTTTATCCTAAATGTATATAATGTGATAAGCTGCATTTAGAAAATTTAGCCAAATGGGTCCTAAATCAGTTAAATCCTTTAAATACATAAATTAAAGTTTTGTTTCTATTTTTTGATGGTAATCAAAGCTTAAGTTCACAGGGTCTACTACTCTTTTAGTCCTTTTTTTTTTTTTTTTTTTTTTTTGAGTTGAGGTCTTACTCTGTTGCCGAGGCAGGAGTGCAGTGGCATGATCACGGCTCACCTCAGTCTCAACCTCCTGGGCTCAGGCAACCCTTCTGCCTCATCCTCCCAAGCAGCTGAGACTACAGATGCGTGCCATCATGCCCGGCTAATTTTTTATTTTTGTAGAGATGAGGTCTTGTTATGTTGCCCAGGCTGGTCTCAAACTCCTGGGCTCAAGCAATCCTCCAGTCTCGGCCTTCCAAAGTACTGGGATTACAAGTATGAGCCATCGTGCCCAGCCATACTTTTTAGTTATATGACAAGGCTCATTCTTGACCAAACTAAATCCAAATTTCCACCCATCTCTTTGATTTGTTGGTGGTTCATTTTTATTGGAAGGGAAAAAGAATATGCGTGAAAGTGATCACTGAAAAATAATTTTGTTTATTCTTACATATTATTTTAAGAATGCAAGGGAAGAACAAGCCAGCACCAACTTACACGTTTAACCACAGGTCCAAAAGACCATAATATCTATTTGATTTGACATCTGAAAATTAAAGAAAACCCTGAGTCTCAGTGGACTGGTCAGCATAACTGTCAGCCCCTCTGTAACATAATTCTCAATGGTAGAAAAGGAACAACACACCTGTTGTTGGCTAAAATCGCATCAATACATAGTTACACCTGACCCACAACTTATGCATCAGTGCACTCCTACACAACCACATTTCTGTGATTTGAATCAATATTGCAGGAGCCTTGGAGGATCTTCCTAATGAAATAATTCTTCTGTAAAATGCAAATTTTAAGTGTCTCTATATTTGGTTTGTTTAAAGTGTAGCTATCTGAGTCTATTTTCAAAATTTGTATATGTAATACAAACTACATAGCTAGGGAAAATATTCACTCAATACATATGTAAGTATAGGTACCAAGTGCCCGACACATGCTCCCTGCCCCAGAAGAGCCAGAGTCTAACAGGAGAGAAGACGTTAATATAAGTAATGACATTACAGGGAGGTAATGCCTCTAAAAAAAGAAGCACAATGTGAGATAAATACATAAAGGGAAGAGCTGTGCGTGTGCCTCAGGAAGCTAGAACATTTCCTGGAGGATAGAATGTTGGTACCAGTATACGGGAATCCGTTTTCCAGGTAAAGAAACTGCGTGTGTGCGTGCTGTGTGCATTCATGTGGCTATTTTTCTTGCTGTCACTGCCACCTTCTGGTTCTACACCCTAGATATTGACGAATGTGCTTCTGGTAAAGTCGTCTGTCCCTACAATCGAAGATGTGTGAACACATTTGGAAGTTACTACTGCAAATGTCACGTTGGTTTTGAACTACAGTATATCAATGGCCGATATGATTGTATAGGTAAGATTTAGTGGCACCTTTTCCTTTCCTTTTTGTCTCTCCTCACCAAACCTGTAGTTTTTCTCTACAGATATTTTGATGTCAATTTAATCTATCAGTTAAGCAGTCTGCTGTATTGACCAGCTTAACAACACAGAAAATGTTATATTTTTCAAGTGTCTGGCATTTAGGTAACTCCAAAGACATCAATTATGAAGCCAGGCCAATTAAGGTTTAAAGTAAGAAATATAGCTCTATTATGGAAGCAAGTATTTTGAGATGATTTTTGTGGGATTTTTAAAAATTTGGTTTTTGTCTTGCTTATAATTTTGGTTCTATCTTCAGATACACATCTAAAAATGGGAACAATAAAGCAGTATTTATATTTGATAAAAGGAAGAATAATAAGGCCTATCTAATCTTAATCTCATGGTCTGTTCATAACATTTTCCATCAGGAGTGGCTTTAGAAAAATATACGAAGCAAATAAAGGACCATGTTCTTTCTTGTTTCTTTTTCTAGCCCTTTCATAGTTCAAGTTCCAAATAAAATGGTCCCTTTTCATGGTCACCAAAAATCACTCTCTGATAAGGCTCTGATACCAGCCAGCTATTGACCTAACTTGTGGGAAATAAAATATTATATCCCTTAGTGAAGGAATTGCATGTTTCCATCCTTGGGTGCATTCCCTTTGTTCTTGATGTAATATAGGATGGAGCCTGTCCCATAGTGAAGGGATATTTGGGCTCCCTGTAGATTCCTATTTGCATAACATGTGTAACAGAGGTGTGTGCATGACATGAAAAGCTAATAGTTGGAGAAAAAATGGATTTCTTTCAACTCTACACTCAGGGCTTTCCAAGACATGTCTTGTGTAATCATGTTGGGACAACACTCAGTTGCTGGGTTTTGAATCGTCCTGTGAAGCTTCCACAGCTCTTCCCTCAAGTCTCTATCACAAAGGTCATCCTGGACAGGCTCATAAAATCCATGTTTCTTGTGGACTTAGACCCCACACCCTCCTGCAGACCCATCCAGCCCTGTAATCCAATGGTGCTGTGTTACAGAGTCCAATCCTGTTTTCTGATACCTAAGGAGAGACTCTACAGGACAGAGTAGAATTCACATGAAAAACTGTGAAAGGAAACAAATCTCTGAGACTTTAAAAGTGCATCTGAGCTCCTTTGGCTAAATTAAAACCAATAGGTTATTTTGCATGTATATGTCTACAAATGCATAGATTAAAAAGGAAATGGAGAATAGGACAAATGAACCTCTCACTTGGGTGGAATTTATCAAATTTTCTTCCTCTAAATCCAGCAGACGAGCTCAGACCAGCCTGACCCTTTCTCCTGGCAGTCTTTGAACAAAATATGCCTGTGCCTGTAAGTTCAGATGATGTCAGCGGTTCCTAAGTGATCTTATCTGTTGTTTGTTAGGAGTTTCAAGCACTTCCAAATATAGAATCGATTTTCTGATTTTGTTATTTAGTTCTACATTGGACAGATGAAAAAGTTAAGAGAAAACCCTAAACATCTTACAGAATAGCATTGATAAGCAGGAGAGGAAATTGCTGTGGGGGAGGGGAGCAGCAAACACACTCCCTGCGTACCAGGTGTCAGGCAAAGTCAGGGCTCAGCCAATGTGCCTGGAGTTCTGAACACCTCTCAGTTCTCAGGCAACACTTGGTTTGTGGGGGGTATTGAGTGCTTGGCCCTAGAGTTGCTCAAGTGTAAGGGATAGTCTTTCAGCAAGCCCTGTTACTACAAAGTTGTTCAGTATACTGTTCCCATTTTTAGATATAAATGAATGTGCTGTGAATACCCACACGTGCAGCCTCCATGCCAATTGCCTCAATACTGAAGGGTCCTTCAAGTGTAAATGCAAACAGGGATATAAAGGCAATGGACTTCAGTGTTCTGGTGAGTAGCATTTGGTCATGGTGTCTTAGCTGTTCCCAATAAATCATTCTCCATAACACCTTCCTCCTTTTATTTCTCTCTTTTTCTTCCTCCCCCTCTCCCTCTTTCCCCATCCTTTCTCTCTAATCCTCTCCCACTTACTCTCACTCTCTCTCACTCTGTGTGTGTGCACTCTGTGTGTGTTTAAATTTAACTCTACCTCAGCTTTGTCTTCTTTGCTAAGTGGACCATATCTCCAATACTCACTGAAGTTGTAGGCACTAAACTTAAAGAACAGCAAGGGTACTTAATATTTTCCTGGTCATGATGTATTTTCAAACATTGAAAATCAGATCTAAGAACAAAAGACACTGAGCAAATGCATCTGTCAGGATAGGCTAGGTTATGGTGCAGTAGCAAGCAATCCTAAAATGTCAATGACTTAAAACCACAGAGATTTTCAAACCATGTGAATCAGGGCTTTTTCCAGAACACACAACTGAAACAAAGTATAATGAAACTGATCTCACTTTGTCATCCACAAGCCTTATTCACTTGCTTTAATATATAGCAGAGACCCCTTGTTCTTGCTGTGAATTCTTTAATACTTTGTGTTAAAAATTTAACTTTATAAGTCAGATGTCTAACAATAAAATATCACTGCTATCAGCAACTACAACAACAGTAAAGGTTTATTTCTCACTAGTCCTAGATGCTCAAAGAGAGTTTTCAGGGGATTTCTTCTCAATATAGTCACTGAAAAAGACACAGGGCAGCTTTTATCTTCTCAATATAGTCACTCAAAAAGACACGGCAGCTTTTAATATGGAAAAAATAGTATGGAAAAGCATAGTGAATATTTTAAGAAATATGAAGTAAAAGTGGCTTCCCCAAGCAGACAAAATCCAGTGGGTGGAGGCTACATTCTCTCTTTCAAATGACTGCTAGGTATCTACGAGTAGAGTAGAGAACCCCACAGAGTAGGGACATTCCACTGCCCCAGGCTCGATGTCCTTCTGAAACTTGGAACTTGGTTGAGAGACAGAGAGAGAGAGAGAGAGAGAGAGAGAGAGAGAGAGAGAGAGAGAGAGAGAGAGAGAGAGAGAGAAAGAGACACTGGAACACCATAGCCTTGGGAGGCCCCCAAAGAGGAGATTGAATAATCAACTTTCCATATTGGAGCATACTTGAGGGACCTTTGTCCAACACTCCTTCATGCCACCAAATTTGAACATGTACATTCCAGGTTGGGAAGACCTAAATTGAAATCTTAGCTCTGCCTCATACTGGCTGTGACCTTTAGCAAGTTTCTCAACCTCTCTAAGTTCAGTTTCCTCCCATCCAAAATGGGACTCATGGTAGTCCTGTGATAGGTTCTTGCACTGGGCCAGGTCACAGACCCTTGGATCTCCCTGATTACAGCAAGGCAGGGTAGACAATTCCATGCATATCCTTAACCCCAGTGCAGTGCACTCTGCCTGCATTGTGGCTTCAGGTCTTTCTCTAGAAGATTGCCCAGTCCTCTGCAGGTACAACCCACAGATGGGGAAGTCAGCACCCCTAGAGACAACCATTAACCAGTGGGCAACGGGGGTCTCTGGATAAATACCCCAGCTACCCCTTCGCAGGGTGGGACAGTTCTGACGTGTGTTCTGAATTGGCTCCCAGATGGCCCCAGCAGGACTTAGCCCCAGTTACAGTAATTACCTGCCCATTGAGGCATCATATTTTGCCTTTTCTCTCTCCCAGTCTCACTGTCTCCTTTCCTCAGCTTCTGCCTCCTGGAATCACCTTCCAATGAAACCACCAATGCCCCAAATCCATGTCTCAGGCTCTGCTCAGGAGAACCCACACTAAGAGAAATTCTTCTCTCAGAGGTTCATAGTGAAGTTTTAAATGAGGTAATATAGGTAGAGAGCTTAGTTCAGCTGGCACATATGTTATTAGTGTTTTTTCAATCAACTGTTTATTAAGGGCCAGAATAGAGACTCTGAAATTTTTTCTACTCAAAAATATTGTACATACCCAAAAATGAAGCCTCAGAAAAACACCTCTTTCAATAAGTGGGCAACTCACTCCCATATACTCATCCTCCTATCCCCAGACCTAAGTATTGAAGGCCCAGAGTAAACCTGGAATCATCTTTTTTACTCATCATTTGATTCCCTTGAAACCACAATGTGTTATTAATGTTCAAATGAAGGCAACACCTTTAAGTGTGCAATTGTGTGGTTGTTTGCAGTCTGTGTTTTCTATATTGTAACCCAGTGCTTTGAAATGATAAATCCCACATCAACACAAACATATCTTATGTCAAGAAAATATCTACTTTCCTTTGACCATCCAACTTCAAGTGTATTTGGGGTAAAACAATTTTTTCTTTATTCTTCGAAATCGCAAACTCATCACACTGTTTTATTTGATAATTGAAAGTTATGCATTTTATTATTATCTGTTCGACAGCTGAATTATTTCTTTATTCTTTCACTAGAATGTTTATTTAAAAGAGAAAGCTGTCTGCGTCATTCACCATATTACTTGTCCAACCTTTTTCATTTTACTTTAAAAATTATCTGTAAAATAAACAGCCATGTTTTTGTTGAAACTTGATCTTAACAAAGTCTTAATATTCATTGCTTAAAAGAAGGATGGCCCAAAATTCACCCTTATATACATAGACGAGTCATAAAAACAAAAATGAGAGAATCGCATCCAATTAGCCTCCAGCATTATAAAATGTTCTATGAAAAATGCATTCATATGCACATGAGTCACTATTATATAAAATAGGGCATTGATGTAGCAACTTTTATTATGAGTTCATGTTTTGAAAAGTTCACTCTACATTGCAATATGGAAAAAGTTAGTAGATTATCCTTACACACCATCTGTACCCAAAGGAAGAAGCATCCTAAATGTAGATGTGTCTATTTTTTACCATTCTAACATATGTGAGTATTAATAATGCACTGCCAGGTAATTTGGTCTTGATTTGACAGCAGCTGTACCTCATTCTAAAAATATCAAAACCTAAATAATAACCAATTTGGGGAATAACAGTCAGTTTAGGACAGGAAAGTGTCATTGAGTTACCAGGAACATAGCTTCTGGAATCAGATTATCTTAGCTTGATTCCTGGCTCCCTAGCCTGCAACTTGTGGACTGGAACAAATTATTTAATATTTTGGTGCCTCAGTTTCCATGTCTGCAAAATAGGGATAATAGTACTTATCCCTTAATACTGTTTTGACAATTAAATGAAATAATTCATATAGAATAACTAAGTGTCCATCTAAAGGGCTTAGCTCCAACCCAGAATATATTAAATGCTCAATCAGCATGTTACAGTGGTAGGAATAATAGTGGTGAAGACTTTGTTAACAACATTGAGCAATCATTCCCATTGAAAAGCAGCTTCTAAGGCCAGGCATGGTGGCCCATGCCAATAATCCCAGCGCTTTGGGAGGCCGAGGCAGGATTGCTTGAGCCTGGGCAACAAAGTGACACCTCATCTTTACAAAAAATCAGAAAATTAGCCAAGTATGGTGGTGTGCACCTGTAATCCCAGCTACTCAGGAGGATCACTTGAGCACAGGAGTTGGAGTCTTCAGTGAACCGTGATTGTGCCATTTGTACTCCAGCCTGGGTGACAAAGTGAGACCCCCAGCTCAAAAAAAAAAAAAAAAAAGAAAGGAAAAAGAAAAGCAGCTTCTTTAGTCATTAGAATGCTTATGGCTTGATTCAATATATATGGAGCATATTCAAGAAGACAAGTTTGGTACAACCAAGTCACCCCAATTTTTTCTTCACTGATAACATCGACATTAGAAATGTGAAGGTATGGCCTGTATCTTTTTTAACTCAGAAAACAACTTTAAAGCTTCTGATGATGAATTCTAAAAATAGTAGCAGACACACGCTGAGTATGTATCAGGTACTAACCTTAGTAATCAACATGTATTTATTCATTTAAGCCTCACAAAACCCCTGTTCTTAGCCCAGCTTCATAAATGAGGAGACTGAGGCAAAGAGAAGTTAATTATTGGTTTAAAGACATATGGCTCTAAGAATGTGGGAGCTAGGAGTCAAACCCAAGGTACTGGGCTCCAGGACTGTGCTGAAACATGGGATGGATGTGTTCACAACCGATGACTAATCCTCTGTGATGGGAGACTCTTCTGGTCTCCTCACCGACAAACTCTCTTAGCTCATTTTTTAAAAAAATTTTATTTTATTTTAGAATCATGAGGTACATGTGAGGATTTGTTACACAGGTATATTGCATGAAGGTGAGGTTTGGGCTACTGATGAGCCCTCCCCACTCCCCTGCAGTGGACATGGTACCCAATGGGTGGTTTTTGTATCCCTTATTCTCCCTTCTTCCCTTTCTTCCTCCCTCCCTCCCTCCTTCCTCCCCCCTTTCCTTCCTTTAGCGTTGGCCAGTGTCTGTTGTTCCCATTCTTGTGCCTGTGTGTGCTCAGTGTTTAGTGCTCACTTACGAGTGAGAACATGTGGTATTCGTTTTTTTTGTTTCTGTGGTAATTCACTCAAAATCTTGGTCTCTAGCTGCATCCATGTTGTTGCAAAGGACATGATTTTGTTCTCCTTTCAGGCTACATAGTATTCCATCAGGGATATGTACCACATTTTCTTTATTCAGTCCACTTTCGATGGGTTAGCTCCATGTTTTTGCTGTTGTGAATAGTGCTGCAATAAACATACACATGCAGGTGTCTTTTTGGTAGAGTAGTTTGTGTTACTTTGGGCATATTCCCAGGAGTGAGACTGCTGGGTCAAATGGTAGCTCTATTTTTAGTTCTTTGAGAAATCTCCAAACTGCTCTCCACAAAGGATGAACTAGCTTACATTCCCAGCAACAGTGTAGAAGTCATCCTTTTTCTCCACAGCCTCCTGGCTCAACTTTTGTTCCGTCCTAGCCTCTTCCTGCTTCCTGGGTCCCACACTGAAGTACATTCCTCATTGTTAAACCTCTCCTCCCAGGACTGTGTCCAAAGCTCAGATTAGTGGAACATTTCTCCTTCCAGATGACAAGATGAACTAAGCACAAGTGAATGAATTTCAAAGTCATATTCCTTCTGGGTAAGATATTCTCATCTAATAGTGATCTTCGGTAAATAAAATTTCATTCCAATGATAGGAAATTAAAATTAGGATTTTTAGTTTAGTAGAAGTTTTGTTATTGTTATTTTTGAGACAGTATTGCTCTGTCTCCCAGGCTGCAGTGCAGTGGTACGATCATGGCTCACCACAGCCTTGACCTCCTGGGCTCAGTGCTTCTGCCTCAGACTCCCAAATATCTGGGACTACAGGTGCATGCCACCATGCCCAGATAATTTTTTTTAATTTTTTGGTAGAGACATCGTCTCACTATGTAGCCCAGGTTGGTCTTGAACTCCTGGACTCAAGTGACCCTTCTTCTTGGCTTCCCAAAGTGCTAGGATTATGGGCGTGAGGCACCACACCCAGCTGAAGTTTTTGACAACGTGAATATTTAGAGAAATCCGTCCTAAGAGAAACTGTCAATTTCATTTACAAAAGACTGACCTGTGAACCTGGATTCCCTATTTTTATGTCTCAGTTCCCCAAATGTGCCAGAGACCCTCCTACTGCAACTTCCTTCCACATTTTTATATTCTCAAAAAGATAATGCAACAATCAAGAAATTGTTAAGAGAAAACAACCATCAGTAATGTCAAATTTTAAACAGTAATACCTACATAAAACCAAATCTAGTTATACATATGCATATACATATCTTTAGACTGTATTTTTATTCTTGCCCAGCTTTCTCTTTATATACTAAGGGAGTGAAATTGTGGACACTACACTATGATGTTTTGATTTTTTTCTTTTCAATAAGAAAATTTGAAACTTCAAAGTAGAAACTGAAAGCAGATGTTTAGGTTTGCCCAGTGTACATTGAAACCCTTTCCTCATTATTTATCAAGGGTCTTTAGTTTTATGTTACTAATTGCATGAAGGAAATTTACAGGGAATGGGTGGTTCCTGTTAATTTTTTTTATTGTTGTTGTCACTGGATACTGGGAAAAGACTCAGGCAACTGTGGATAAAATTATACAGCAAGGCCTCCAGAGGAAGGTCTACAGATATATGATCAGCACATTACAATCAAGCTTAAGGTGCAATCTCTGGCCAGGGAGCTGAAACAGGCCATCTGAAGGTCAGGAAAATGATGTATTACTTGTATTAGTACTGATTGGTTTCATACCTATAAAAACAGGCTGACACAATGATAAACAACTAGAATATTTCATTGAAAAGAGAAATGTTGCTCTTTTGCCATACCAGCTTTTGAGTGATTTCAAAGTAAAAGCAATGTATTAATTAAGAGCACACATATTTTCAAAGCATTTTTCCTTCCCATCTTGATTACCCAAAATATTGTGTACTTCTCCTGGTTTATTTTTCTGCTACTTTGATACAGATTGAATCAGCCAAGTGATGGGGAAGGAACGAAGCAGGAGAAAAAATTAAAATGCTGCCAAGAAAAATATTCTAATAAAATCCCAATCCAATTTCTTTTTATAGTAGTATTTTTAGGCATCGAAATTGATGTCTACTCCCTTATTCTATTTTTCTCTAAACTATGTCCAAGTAGTAGAATTAAGTGAATTGATTCAGGTGTTATTAGACCCTTTCTTGCTTAGGGTTAGACTAGCACATGCCTAGACATTTCATGATATGACAATATATTTGATTTAAAGATCAGCATTTAAAATTTTTAAACAATCAATTACATTTTTACATCAGCTGGATATTCTTAATTATCATGAATATATCCCTGGAAAGAAGGCATATATCTTTGAATTATAGATCTCAAGGAATTTTAACCCATTTAGAGAAAAGTAACCCTTAAACTTAAAGCAGAAATAAACCTATCATGGAAATAAGACTAGGAAAAGAGTCATATGCTTTACTCTCAAATCATAGCTCTGTTTCTAGCTAGCTGAGTGTCTTTGGGCAAGTCACTTAACACCCAATTGCCTCATCTGCAAGAGTACTAGGCTAGATGATCTTATTTTTTATCCCTTGAGTTGTTTGAAACTAACATTTTTCCCTTGGGAAAAATGATCCATTGGAGGATAAAAGTAATCTATCTAGAGGTATATTTTTTTAAAGCAACTTATAGCCAGGCATGGTGGCTCATGCCTGTTATCCTAGCACTTTGGAGGCCAAGGCGAGAGGCACTTGAGCCCAGGAGTTCAAGACTAGCCTAGGCAACACAATGAGACCTTGTCTCTCTAAAAAATAAAAATAAATAAATAAATTAGCCAGGCATGGTAAGGCACACCTGCAGTCCCAGCTTCTTGGGAGGCTGAGGTGGAAGGATTGAGCCCAGGAGGTCAAGGTTGTAGTGAGCCATGATTGTGCCATTGCACTCCAGCCTGGGTGACAGAGTGCAACTTCAATTCTTAAAATAAATAAATAAGCAAGCAAACAAACAAATAAATTGCTTTTGTGGTGAGAAACAGGATATGAATGAAAAAAGTAAATATAAAAGCCTCTCTTTAAAAATTCAATAAATAAAATCATTTAGCTTAGATAATAGATGACTAAAGTGAAGACATTTAAAGTGAAGAGACAGAAGGAAAATCACGTATGTGCACATTGAATCATAAGTCACCACTTTTATAAATTGCAAATGGCTCCATTATTAGCAATTCATATGGTTTAACCTGATGCTATAGCTGTAATTTTTGAACATAAAATTTGGACAAACCTATAGGGCAGAAATACTGGAGGACCCTAGCAAATCCATCACTTTGGGATCTGTTGCCCAACTGGGTAGTAGGAATTTCACAAAGTAGTCTCTGAAGCAAAACAAAAGTAACACAAGGTAGTTAAGATAACTACCATAATATTGGAACTGCTTAAAACAAATGCAAATATAGTCTTTCCTAAAACATCAAATGATAGAGCCTCATATGGGTTTGTTCAGGATTCACTCAGTTACTGCTTTCAAAATGCTTCATTTCTTGTGAGTGACTTAATTATCAGCCAATTTGGAACTTTTCACCTTTTATTGTTTGTTTTAGCTATCCCTGAAAATTCTGTGAAAGAAGTCTTCAGAACACCCGGTACCATCAAAGACAGAATCAAGAAGTTGCTTGCTCACAAAAACAGCATGAAAAAGAAGGTAAAAATTAAAAATGTCACCCTGGAACCCGCCAGGACTGCCAACCCTAAGGTTAACTTGCAGCCCTCCAACTATGAAGAGAGTGTTTCCAGAGGCGGGAACTCGCATGGAGAAAATAAAGGAAATGAAGAGAGAGTGAAAGAGGGGTTTGAGGAAGAGAAAAGAGAAGAGAAAGCCCTGAAGAATGACATGGAGCAGGAGCGAAGCCTTCGAGGAGATGTGTTTTGTGAGTGTCACTTTTTATTATTTTATACATTTTATAAAAAGTGAGTTATGATTTCTCCTGGCAAGTGAAAGCAGATGAAAAGTCAGTTTCATACCTTAAGTAAAATGGGTTGGGCCTTAAGCCTAAGAAGCAGCACTCCCTGTAAGGTCTAGAAACTAACACCTTCCGCAGATATTCCATTGAACCTACTTCTCTGGGAATCAAGGAGGGAAAGTTCTGTTCCCTAACCTGGGGCAGGGGTGGGGGGAGGGGTTCCCTATTTGACACAGACTCTCTTCTCTCTCAGTCGAGAAAGCCTGCTTGTCCTGTAAGCACAGTGGTCTGGCTGCCAAGTTTTCCACGTGATGAACTCCCAAATCAGAAAGACTCTCATCACGTGTGTCTGCTAAGCTCTACCTTTTTGCTGCTTCTTTTCTTTCTCTTTTTACTTCTTTCTTTCTCCTTTTTTTTGAGAGAGTATCTCACTCTGTCAACCAGGCTGGAATACAGTGGCGAGATCATAGCTCACTCCAGCCTTGACCTCCTGGACTCAAGCAATCCTCCTGCCTCAGCCTCCCAAGTAGCTGGGACTACAGGTGCATGCCACCATGCCTGGATAATTTTTAAATTTTTTTTGGAGGCAAGGTCTTGCTATGTTGTCCACACTGGTCTCCAACTCCTGGCCTCAAGCAATTCTCTTGCTTCAGTCTCCCAAAGTGCTGGGATTACAGACATGAGCCACCACATCCAGCCCACCTTTTTACTTCTTGAAGGCACTTTTTACAAGCCCACTCTAAGAAAATGGAACCTCATAGTTGTGTGGTTATCATTTTAAAGGCTGAAATACACAGTTGTAAGGGGAAGAATTCCACAATGGAGCTTCAGTTTTCTGTATGAATTTAGAGAACTGCCATATTCCCCTTTTCATTGGTTGCTAGACAGACCCACCCTAAGGCTCAGTCTCTCCAGGATTAACCCACCCTGGATCCCCCACTGAGACTTTCCACTTCATTCTTACTGGGCATTTGTTGCTCTCTCTATATTTTGCCTCGTCTGTTCTTGACTCTGTGACTGGTGATTGTATATACAAATGCCAACTGGATTTACTGAAAGGAAAAGTAGACACAGACCCACCCACCCAAGAACTAGCATACCAACGACATTCTTTCCTTCCCTTAATAGAGAGTGAAAATCTCAAGAAAAGTGTATTTGCAAAACCTGATGAGAAGGAATGTGTCCATAGTGTAGATGCTTAGTTCACTTAGAGGAGCATCAGGAAAAGATATTCTAGATGAGGAAACTGGAACCAATGACAGTGGTTTGGAAAAGTCAGGGAGACACTGCTCTAATATATTCTGTAATTAGAATATGTGATTTTAAAAAACCCTCTTTGTTCAGTCATTTGAGTCATACCTTCTAAGCATGTGAAGTCTTTGGTTTTTTCCTTAACTGATCAAGTGTTCTTCATTAGCCCCTAAGGTGAATGAAGCGGGTGAGTTTGGTCTGGTTCTGGTCCAAAGAAAAGCACCAACTTCCAAACTGGAACATAAAGGTAAATGACACTTTCTTCCAAGTATATGCTCACTCTCATTGTCCGTGTCCCTTTCATTTCTTCATAGGAAGAGATGATTGTTCATGAATCATTTCTTTATTCATAAACCCCCAAGGCAAAAAAATCATTACATTGTACACAGTGCCAGTATTAAAATAGTAGGTCCTTGCATGATTAATACCAGTTATTACAATATAGTAAGACTATTTTCCTCTCACTCCCACCTGACACCGAGAGTGACGGGTTGAGGCTGACTCTATGTACGAAGATGGGAGAAAATTACTCATTGGCTTCAACTCCGATGTCTAAGGCTCACAACCTGAAAATCCTTATCTACTAAAATCTGGCCTGTATCAATTAGCTATTACCACAATTACGCTGTGTAACAAACAACCACAGATCCTCAGTGACCTACAACAATAAATATGTATTTTTGCTTATGAGTCTGTGGATTGGCTGGGCAGTTTTTCTGATCTGAACTGGGCTGGATAGGTTCACACATGGGACAACTGGATTCACTCAGCTCTGCTCTATGTGGACTCTCCTCATTCAACAGGTTAGTCTAGGCTTGTTCTCATGAGGCAATGACAGGATTCCCAGAAAGAGAGCAGAGACATGCAAGACCCTTTTAGATCTAGGCCCAGAACTGGTACAACGTTACTTCTGCCGTATTCTGTTGGCCAAAGCAAGTCACAAGGTCAGCCTAGACTTATAGGTTGGGGAAGGAGCTGCAATGTCAAGCAAAGAGCCTGGATACAGGATGGGATAAAAATCAGGACCACTTTTTGTGATCAACCTACCAAAGCCTCATAATCTGAAATTTCTTGGGCATGATCTCACCTTCTTGAGAACTTTAGAACATTACTACCCATGATGAATTATATGTGACTTCTCTACACATACCTGTGGAAAAGGCCTACTTATATATTTATTTCTTTTGCTGGGTATAAGTATGGAGGCTTTGATCTTCTCTTCGCTTTTCAAACTTTTTTTTACTTACCACTATACATGACCTAACCTTGTGCTGATTCGTTTCCCTTTTGTGTTTACCCTGTGAGGACATTCTCTTGTTTTGTCCCTGTGGTTTCTAGGACCATCTCCACTATGAATAAAGTGCCTCTGTAGTTCAGTCCTCCATATTTGATCTGAGAATCTTCTATTAAAACTCTTCAAAGGCTGGTAACCCATGACCAATCTCCTACTGGCATCTTTTCCTCCATATTTCTCCTAAGTGTTCTAGTATTCTCTCTCTCCACATTAGACATCCTATTGCCATTTTCCTGGTTAGGAGGAAAATGTTTCATAGCTCAGGGGATAAGCTATGTTCTCCAGGTGCTCACAGGTTCTGCCCCACTTCCCCTTGCTAAGTGACATGAAGAAACTAGTTGATGACCCTTTGTATCCCCAATCAACATTTTAAAAATTTTGCTTCTCTTAATGATACTTTAATGATACTGAATGAAACACAGAAAGTTTAAAATTTTGTACATGACCATATGACCCTGTGATTTCAGCAGTCCAGTAAGATGGCCTGGAGAGCTCAGTGCCAATCAGAAAAATCTGGTGTGCACACCAATTCTTCTACTTGCTTTTTGCCTTGGGCAAGACACTTGCACTTGCAATGCCTCATTGCTTTCAACATAAAGTTGGAATAAGTGCAATACTTTCTGTGTAGATGCTACCTTAGACTGGGATCTCCAGAAACAGACCCAAAGACAAGAATTTGTGTGCAAGTGGTTGATAAGGGAAGTGGTTCCAATGAAATAGCAGTTGGAGACTGGGGAGGTGAGACGGGGAGAGAAGGAGACAATAAAGGGTGTATTATTAGGAAAGTTTCCACTATGAGCATCAGAAGCCCAATCCCACTGGGGAACTCTGGGAGCCAATGTAGAGTACATGGCTCACAATTCCCCTACTAGAGGGGTAAGGGAGGTGCAGTATATATGCACCAACTTCTACCTGACATTGATTGAAGGCTGCTCCTAGGAGGGTGCAGATTCCCTGGTGCACCAGGCCTGCCATGAAAGCAGAGAAGGTCACCTCTGTGGCAACTGGCCCTCCATCCCACTTGGATCCTCTGCAAGACAGGAGAGAACCTCGTTTCTAGTCTGACTTCTGTCCACCAACTCCTGTCCATCACTGGAGGAGGGCCCTCCCTGGGAAAATAACTCCCCAGCATTCTAGCCTACATGACTTGAGTCGAGTGTGCTCCAACCAGAGAGCATCCTCATGCAGAGAGCTGTGGGCATTTGCAGTAGAATGCCACAAGCCCACAGTGAAACATAAGTACTGACAGATATTGATGTGGCACCAACAGCATCTGCTTCAAGACTGGTGTGGATTGAACCAGAGAATATATTTGGAAGCACTTTGTAAACCATAAAGTGTTATACAAATGAAATAGTGTGCTTGTGAGACCAAAGCCTTGAGCTTTATCTCTTTATGGAGTAGTTTGCTATATACTATTCCATTGTCTCAGTTTACATGCCCAGTCTCCTGCATATTGAGGAAGAAGGGGAAGTTTGGGGCAGCCATTATAACCACGATTGTAAACCAATTGGAAAATTGATGTTCCACTATTTGTGGGATGGTAACATCAACTTCTCAAACTAGTAATAGCACTCATTAAAGAACTTTGAAGACTGGAAGCAAGTATTATTGGCATCTTTTAACTCTAAAACTGGGACTAGAAAGAAAATATCTTTGCTGACATAGAGAAAAATAGGGGGTGAAGAAGAAAGGAAAGTGAGGAAAGGATCCATGTGTTTTTGCTGGCTTAGGATATACGCAGGACAACCAGCCCCAGACTGCAGTCTCATTTGGGATTCACGTCCAATTCTGGCACTCAGTATCTGCAGAACTTGGACAAATCACTCACAAACCTCAGTTTTACTTTCCCGAAAACTGGTCTGACAACAGACTTTTTTTGACAATCCGATCACATGGCATAAAGTATGTATAAATATCTGGCAAACTGAATTGAATCAGCTGGAACCACTTCCCTTTTAAGCTTACTCCCCTTTCTTGTCATTCCTTTATTCCTCTGCATAAACGTTGAAAGCCTCAAAATCAGAGCCAGAGGCCAGCCTTAGTTAGGAATCAGAAGGATCTCAGTCTTCTCCCTTTCCCAGTAGTATTTTTATTAACTACATCAGGGGTCAGCAAACTTTTTTCTGTAAAGGGTCACATAGTAAATATTTTAGGCTTGGTGGACCATAAAGTCTCTTTTGCAACTATTCTGTCATTGTGGTTCAACTATTGCCATAGATGACATGGATTGAATGGGTGTGGTATGTTTCAATAAAACTACAAAAACAGGCGGTGGGCCAGGATGTGAGTTTGCTGACCCCTGGTCAGCATAAAAGTAACCAGAGGCACTGGTTCAAAACGTACACTAGCTGAATCAACCCTTCTACTTGTCTGCCATATCTAAACAAGGGAATCATGAACAATTTAGAAACTACTGTCAAGGGAAGGCGAGGTGGGATTGGCAGTTGAGGGAAACTGCTAGGGGAGGGAGGGACATACCTCATCAAAGGGGGTACCTGCATGATCAATGTTGATATACCTAACCCTGAAATGTACCCCACATCTTTATAATAAAAATTTTAAAAAAAGAAAGAAACTGGCAGTGAGTTGGCTTATTTAATCCAACACACCAGTGGCGAATTTCTACCTGGAATGTTGACTCATGAAGTGAAGAAAAGAAAATTTTGTCACATATTGCCTCATTTGTACCTGCAGGACTTTAGTTTACAGAACTGAGTGACAACACAGGCAAATGCCATTGAAAGAAGGATTTATTGCTGACATTTCCTAGGAAAAGGGGGCACCCCATGTCACACAGAGCTGTGAGGGAAGAAGCAGCAGGTTTGGTCAGGAAGCAAGAGCAGGAGTGAGGGGAAAGCCTAGGTCACAGCCTTTACTGTGGCTTCTGCAGGAAAGGCAAGGCAGAGCAGGGCAGACAGTTTAGGATTAGATATTTTGAATGATTCCAGTGGTCTTTGGGGCATAGGTCTTCCGGTACCTGAACCCTGAGTCATCAGGGCAGAGGTAATATTGACTCGATGTGTGTTAGATGAAGGGGGTGTCTAGCTTGTGTATGAGAGGCACATTCCAGATGAGTCGTTTGCTCTGTCTAGGAATTAGCTAGCCCTGGGAGTGGCAGTCCCTCCTCAAGTCTGGAAGGTCCCCCCAGATGTCAAAATACCATAAAATATAGCAAATAAAAAACGTGATTAGTACACTTATGTGCTAAATAAATGCTGGTAAGTCAGGGATTGTATGAAACTTACTATTCCACAAAGCATCCAGAAAGTTCTGGCAAGGTCTTCTCTGGTTTATTTGGGTAGGAGAGATTTTCTTTTCCGGCCTGAGTTTTATAAACAATTGCTTATATTCTCTGATGATCTTTGTACATGGAAATCTTGCCCATTACTTTTTAAAAATTTGTTTTTGTTTTTTAAGAACACATCAAAATTGTTTCGGGATGGCTTTACAGATTTAACTGGAAACAGGGTATGCCATAATCTGTACTCTGTGCAACTGAAAGCATGGTATACCTTCCAGAGCTCCAAATGTTAGACATCTTCCTAAAGCTCTTAGTGGTTATGAAATGCACTCTTTTTTTTTTTAAAGCAGATTTGAATATCTCAGTTGACTGCAGCTTTGATCATGGGATCTGTGACTGGAAACAGGATAGAGAAGATGATTTTGACTGGAATCCTGCTGATCGGGATAATGGTATTTAGATTTGACTATTTCGTGTTCTGCAATATGAGGAGGATAAGGAAGACTCTCCAGTGATGGAGGGCTATTATTCCTGTCACTTGTTAGGGCAGGGTTATTTGTCGTCTTTGGATACCAATAGATCTTCCGAGGTCTCCCATGATAGATGACTAACTTGGTCCAGTGTATATTCTACTACTGAATTCTTTTCTCACACGCCTGACCCCACAACGAATGTTCCAGCAAACCTCTTCCATGTTCACTCTCCTGCTGCTGAGAGAGAGATGTAAGATTTGTATAAAGTTTGGGAGTGTCAGGGAAAGGGTAGAAAGAAGTTGCTCTTTTTTCTCAGTTTACCAGTCATTGCAATGTAGTTTTTCATTGGTTTGGTTTGATTTTAGGTGGGGGGAGGAATAAATCTTGAAAGGGAATATGACCTTTAAAAACCTGGAGTTTTAGTAGAGTCACCCCTCAAAGCATCAAAATCATAATGAGAATCAAGCCTACGACCTGAACTCCTGGACTGGGTTTTCCCTTCTGTTGTTTGAGGGTTTTTTCCCCAGTCACCTGACCTTGGATTTTTCTCAACCTCAGCTCTGAACTGCAGATTTCCTGCCCTCTCCATCACACACTTAAACACCCATGGACCCCAGCTTTTCCTTTAGGTAGAGAGTTTAGTTTCCAGATCCCATTTGGAGTAAGAATGGAATCCCTATCTCCTGAAGGCTGATTGTATAATTAAAGGTTAGTGTTATACCTTCAGGGACAACTGTACCTTATCATGTACCATATACAGGCTCAGCCTTCCGTTAAAAAAATCCTTCTTCTAGATCCTTCCTCTAAACTAATTCCTTCCCAAGATCTTTTTTTTTTTCCAAGTCCTCATATGAAATCAGAATACCTGAATATGCCCTAACATGAATTCCTTTTAGAACTTGGGATTAGGGTAGAGGGGATTTATCTAACACAGCAGTTGTGTGAGTGTGACTTTTGCTAAAGATTCAGAGTAAGCATAGGGCAAGTTTAACCAGGTTGGAGACTATACACTTGAAGAAGCTATCTTGTTGAAAACTAAACTGAGTTTCTCCTTGCTTCCATCATGGCATTTTAAAATTTATGACTGGCAGAGCTATATCACATTTGGAGCCCGTAGGTTATTCCAAGACCTCGACAGCTCACCTAGTCACTCCACAATGTCTTACATTGAGTTTCCCATCAATGAGAAGTCATCTATTTACAAACACCCAATTCACAAGTGACCCTGGGGATCTCAGCTTCTGCATCATTCAAAGCATACCCTCCTCTCTTCCTGTACCTCCATCATTTCTCTAGGTGAACTTTTCTTTCCCTACAGAGTTAAAAAAAAAAGTGGGATATGAGTTAGCATTATGAGAAGGATAAAACCTCAAAGACAGCTCAAAACAGGCTTTATCTGAGAGGGAAAGGGAAAGCTGCCGCAGTTGGTCACAGAAGAGAGAGAGTAACTGGTAGAGTTATCAGATAATGTATAGGTTGCCTAAATTTCAGATGAGCAACGAATACTTTTTAGTATATTTCAAACATGTCATTTATGTGAAATTCAAACTTCCATTGGACATCCTGTGCTTTTATTTGATAAATCTGGATTTTTCTTTGAAGGGGACCCAAAGAAACTGGAATGATTTTTTGGAGAGTGGGCCCCTTGTAGTACAGGCTTCCACCACTAGGTAAGCGTTCCAGGAACCCACTGGCATCAGTATACCAGCTAGGGTTGTTTGGCTGCATTTGGCTTCAGTGATTTTTTTTTGGAGATTCTTTCAATGCGTTTGCCCATTTCATGATGCGTGATGTACAAGTGCACCTGCCCACACCACGCTGAGTGTTCAGCAGTTTTTTTTAACCAAAACCAGCGTGACCCCTGTACCCCACCCTCCCTCTTCACCTGACTTCACCCCATGCAACTTTTTTTTTGTTTCCCTGGATGAAAAAAGTCCTCAAAGGGAAATGTTTTGCTGATGTGGAAGAAGTGAAACAAAAATGGCAGAAGCACTAAAAGACATCAAAATTGACAAGTTCAAAAACTGTTTTTGCAGTGGAAAAAGCATCTCAATAGGTGTATTGCATCAAACGGAGACTACTTTGAAGGTGGCTGAAGTTTAAACATGTAAGACCAAATACACAATTTTTAATAAACAAATTCCAGAGTTTTGTGAGTCCCCCTCATATTAGCTGGGTAAGATGACCAGTCTCTGATCCATTGAAAACCAAGGCAGTGTCATCCTGGGTCCTGCAAGGTCTCCAAATTGTAGTAGTAGAAGACCCCATCCTTTCCCCAGTGTTTTCTTACTGGCTTCTATTGGAATTTCTCCCTCATAGCAATTTCTTCAGACCCTACTCTTTGAGAGTTTTTGCCTAAGTTTGTCAAAGCCACAACCAGAAGATTGAAGATGAGCAAAAACTCACTATCACTGGTGAAAAAATACTTAGAAGATTTGTAGGAATAGGAGGAGGATGTGTTCTTGTCATTCTAAATCAGAACTCAGAGTGATATGTTGCACTTGGTGGCTGATATCTATGAAACCATAATTACCAGTGCAGGTGTGTCGTGGCTTAAACACTGCACTCTGAACCCTCCTAAGGAGATGGCCATCGCACATATCATTGACTCCGTGGGGAAATGCATTTCCATGTTTAAGATATCAAGGTAGAAACGAAGTTCTGAAACCCAAGCTCTCCATCAGTTGCAGATTACCTGCAGTGTTAAAGGGCTGTTGCATTAGAATCTTGCTGCCAAGCTTTGTGAATGTGAACAAATCCTCAGTTTCTCTGACCCTCAGTTTACTTCTCTATATAACCAAGGATTTCAACTATGTGGTTCCTAACGTTGATTTTAGTATGCAAATTTTGTTCCTATATTTGAAATGAAAGGGACTTCAGCATTCCCTATCAGAGACTGTTGTTCACTTTTTATGGTTCTTTTATACATTATAGCCAAACTCTTTACAATGGCCTCATTAATTGTGCTTTTTTTCCCCCTTCTTTTAAAGCTGTTGGCTATTATATGGCAGTTCCGGCCTTGGTAGGTCACAAGAAAGACATTGGTCGATTGAAACTTCTCCTCCCCGACCTACAGCCCCAAAGCAATTTCTGTTTGCTCTTTGATTACCGGCTGGCCGGAGACAAAGTAGGGAAACTTCGAGTGTTTGTGAAAAATAGTAACAATGCCCTGGCATGGGAGGAGACCAGGAGTGAGGACGAAAGGTGGAAGACGGGGAAAATTCAGCTGTATCAAGGGACTGATACTACCAAAAGCGTAAGTGAGGAAAAATGATTAAACTTGAGATATACATTCTTCCTCAATGATTTAATAAACAGCAAAACACCTACTGAAGCATATTTGGGGATACAAAGATGAGAAAGAAGACTTTTTCCTACACTTAAAGAACTTATGTTCTAGAACAAAATGGGTAAGGTGATTAATCAGTACAACTAATGACAATACTTGGCAAGCACTTGTGTATCATGTTCTATGAAGATGACCTGCTTGCCAGGCTCCTCTCACCAATCCTCCCAAACCAGGCTATACATTCCTTAACGTATAAAATAATGTATTGCTCATTTGTTCTATGCCCAGAACTTAGCACAATGAATGGCAGCTAGAAAGTGCTTTTTAAAATGTTTTTTCAACTGAACTGAAAAAGTGGCTGTTGTGATCCCTGACTACCCTCAGGTTCAATGGTTCCCTAGAAGAATTCACAGAACTCAGAAAAGCTGTTATATTCACAATAAGGGTTTCTATAGATTAAAATCCATAAAAGAAAAAGAGACATAAGGCAGAATCTAGGGGAGACTAGGCTCAAGCTTGCAGTTTTCCTCTCCCAGTAGAGTCATGCAGACAGTTAATTCTCCCAGCAACCGGGTGTGACAACACTCACAAAGTATTGCCCACCAGGGAAACTCACCCAAGCCTTGGTGTCCATGGTTTTTGTTGGGTATCAGTCTGTGACTGCCTGTGTGGTTGACTTTAATTATTCATTATTCAACCTCTCTCAAGGTCAGGTAGATACCATGTGACCCAAGGCCCCTACCATAAATCACGTTATTAGCATAAACTCTCTGGTATGGCCCAAATCCTCAGGTAAACAGAGACACTCTTAATCAAGTAAGATAGTCTAAGGGCTTACAGGTTATCTCCCAAGAACCAGTGGAGAGCCAAACCTTTATTTGGAATATGCAGGGTTTGGACAACACAGACCTACTGAAGTAAAACTATTTTATTGCACAGTGGGTTTAATAAAGGAAAAGAAAACAAGGTTTTAAGAGGAAGTTGGTAAATGGGATGAAACACTGAGAAGGAACAAACAGAATAAAAATCACAAAGAGTCTATTGAGTTTGACCATCAAGAGATGGCTGGTGACTTTTGCAGAAGTTGTTTTTTTGGAGGGAAAGGGCCAAGGTCACACTATAGGAAGATGAGGAAGGAATGGATCAGAGCCAGGAGACAGCCACTGTGGACCCTCGTGAAAAGTTTGGTCAAGGTAGGAAGGAAAAAGATAGGGTAAAAGCTGGAAGAAAGTCCATGAAGAAGTGATAATAGAAAGGACAATTAATAGATCCATGAATTGGAATTCCATTTATACTTTGCTTGTAAAAGATGATGATTAATGTAAGTCAAATCTTATTTCTTGGTAATAGGCATCAAAGTAGAAAGCCTAGTCTCTAGGGTCATACATCAAATTTAACATCATTTGATTTACTTGTAACACTCTAATTAAAGTAGAACATCTTATTTACAATATCTTCCAAAGTTTAATTCAATCACCTTTAAAATCCCTTTTGTCAAGTCTCTATGATTCTGTACAGTTCTTGAATCTTTTTTTCTAGATATGATGTGCCAAGATCATGTCTTTGGTACTTCATTAAAATATATGTGAGTGTATGTGTATACACATACACACACACACACACATCACATATCATAAGAAGTGACTAGAAATAAAAATATATGCTGGGTGCTGGTTAGTAGATGTCCTAACCACCCTTCCCCTCTGTGGTAAAAGCAGTCAATGCTTGTTTAGGACTGACACATGCATTAATTCAAATTTATTTTCATTGCAGTATATTTAAATCAATACAAATCCAATCCACATGTTTACCTTGTTGTGTTTGTGGCATGTTTTGGGAACTCTGGCCCTGATCCATGCTATATATGGATGACACTCCATGTTGAAGAATTGAAATATGCCTCTACACAACATTTATAATTACTTTCACATGTGCTGGGGAATATTTTTCATATAACAAGGGGAATATTTTTTATATAACATGGGGAATTTTTTTTATATAACTTGTAACTTGTGGGGAGGAAATACTGTCAAAATAGTGATTTTTTAAGCATACATTTTTGAAAGCATTCTCCCAAAGAGCCTGCCCAGCAATCACACTGTAATATAGCAGTGCTATGTTAAGAGGGATGCTCAGACTCAGGTGCCTGTGCTCTGAATTCTTCAGTTCTAGGGGAAACTGTGATGGGGGATATTGAAGGGTGAGGAGGCTGACTAATGCAGACTAAAGCATCTATTTCAGTTTAGCAATGTCAAATTGGCTGTGCAGATTTGTAACAGATGTGACTCTTACTGTATAAACTTAGATATACAAGATAAGTCACATTGCCTTCTCTAAATCAAAGTATAACTGTGGAGGGAAGGAGGGAGGGAGAGAGGGAGGGAGAGAGGGAAGGAGGGAAGGGAAGAAAAGGAAGGAAGAAGGGGGCAGGGAGGGAGTAAGGAAAGGAAGGAAAAGAAAAAAATAAATGTACCCAGCTCCAGAGCAAAAAAGAGCCTGTATGGTGGGCAGTCACAGGCCCTTTTCATCTCCATTTGTCCCCTTGAGGTTTCCTGTCTTCTCTTTGGGAGCCAGAAAAAGCTAGATACAGTGATGATAGCAAGCCTCCAGTTGCTTCCTCTCTGCAACCTTGAGAACTGTTCTTTGATTATCTATAAAGCAAAAAAGAGATCTTGTTGTGGATGTTCAATAGTTGCATGGTGGCATTGTTGTGAACATGATTCCTAAAGAGCCTTTCTTTAAAATGTCAATTTATTTAGGTTTGAATTTATTTTTAAAAAGTTTAGAAAAGACAAAAGGAAATTATATTATTGGAGAAAAGTAAAGATTCATAATTACACCACAATAACACAAGTGCTTTCATATTTCACACTTTACTTTCCACATGAATCCATATTTTAAGCTATTATAAACCACAGTAAGCATAGGTTATTGCCAAATTCCATTTTGATAACATACATGTGTGTGTCATTTTATAGAAGAATAGCATGTTTTAAATTGTGTTCTTTTCTTTCTAAAATTTTGTTCCAGAGTAACCTTAATCATCTTGAGTCAGAATCATTTTGCTGTCTAAATCTGCTTATTTCTTATATTGAGAATTATAGAACCCACGAGGCCTAGTTCCCTCTTTGTGGAGACACATGGGAGATACAGGCGACATATTTCTCCTTATCGTGAATGCTATTGCAGAGGTGTTCTGTCAATTGTAGCTAGCATTATATTCATAACTATTGAACTTTAAGAATATTTTTTATGATTATAAAATTAACATGAACTTTTTTTAAAAAAGCATGACAATATTGAAGAGGCTTATAAACATTAAATCACCAAATATTTAGTTTAATCATATTTATTTTAAAATATGTTCAGATAAATGAATGGGTATATAATAATCACTGTATATTCTTATTTTTGTTAAATGAATCCCTGTCATTTTGTGTCTAATTTGAAGACAATTTTTTTTGGTATTCATTCTCTGTTTTCTATACATGAGAAATTTCTCATAAAGAAATTTTTTTCTTGTTCAATTATTAATAAATTTCTTAGATATAAATTATTATAACATATTATGAAACATTATTCAACACATAAAAGCAATGTCATTCCAGATAATCTCCAAATACATAAACCAATATTTAAAAAAATAATTATACTACTACAAGCTACCAAAATCTAAATATACCAAAATAATTCCCTTTCAACTGTGTAGTTTTGTTCAGAGGGAATATTAAACTTTTAACCTGGTTTTTATAAAGAAAATCATTTTGTTGTTATTTTTGCTTTGCTTTGCTTTAAATGGCAATTCCAAAATGTCCTTGTAAATCTTACCTTTCTCAGCTTTACAGAGCTTTTCAGAATCCTCTAGGAGATGCTGTGACCCTGTTTTGTCTGCACACAGCTGTCTCAGTGTGGACACCTGGCATCTAGAAAACAACATACCATATACTCCTTGTCAAAGTTGGTTTTAATGCAAAAGGGACGATTTAGTCCTCATTAATAGTTATTAAATGGTTTGATTACATCAATGTTTGAAAAATTTTGAAGTAATTTTTAATTTCCTCTCCATTATTAGATCATTTTTGAAGCAGAACGTGGCAAGGGCAAAACTGGAGAAATTGCAGTGGACGGCGTCTTGCTGGTTTCAGGTTTATGTCCAGACGGCCTCTTATCTGTGGATGACTGAATGTTACTATCACGATCTTTGACTTCTTATATCAGTTCTGTTTTTTGGTATTACATCATATGGCCCCCCCATTTTCAAAATACAAGCTGAAAAACTGTACCAACAGAATATTATTGTAAGATGCCTTTCTTGTAAAGGTGTGCCAATATTTGCTTTAAATATAGTACCACCGTGTCTTCTCATGCATTTCTAAATTTTTCCACATTAAGTTATGAAATGTGGAAATGTCAGTTTATCTCCCCTCCTCCCAGTATATATGGTCTGTTTACATGAGTTGATGAACTTCTCTATACTTTTCTAGAATAATCCCCCCAAAAGTGCAGAGAAATGTTTCTGTTTGACTCTTATGACACTTCTTGGAAACCATGACATTAAAGATAGACTTTTGCCTAAGTGGTTTAGCCTGATCTTTCATAACCAAGCTTGTACACTTAAATTCTTTGTACTAATAATATCCAAATAATCACCTGTGTCACAGTTTAATTTTTCTAAGTAAGAAAATATGGTGTTGATTCTATGTTTACTTATGTGTGTGATTATTTGTTTTTCTGGAAAATGTAGTTTTTATTCTTTTCTTTATAGAAATACTTTATATTCTTAAAAAATTAAGTACTTTCTATTATAAGATTATACGGGGCAGGCACAGGGCCCAGCACTTTGGGAAGTCAAGGTGGGAGGATCACTTGAGTCCAGGAGTTAGAGACCAGCCTAGGTAACGTAGTGATATCTTGTCTGTACAAAAAAAAAAATAAAAAAATTAGCTGGGGGTAGACATGGGGGCACATGCCTGTAGTCCCAGCTACTCAAGAGGCTGAGGTGGGAGGATTGCTTGAGCCTAAGAAGTCAAAGCTGCGGTAAACTGTGATTGTACCACTGCACTCCAGCCTGGGTGACAGAGTGAAACCTTGACCCCCCCCCAAAAAAAAGGAAAAGAAAATAGGACTGCTTTATTAGGCCTCATAACTACACTGCAGATTAGCACAGATTGTTAAACTCAGAGAACTACCTAAAACTAAATTAGCAGGTAGCAGAACTCAAAGAACAATGGATACCTTCTTCTTTAGTTCTCTTTTCTTGCAAATTCAGGAAGAGCTTTGTGTGAGAATCATAGGTATATTTCTTGAGGGGAATATTATATTCTGATTCATATTATGGGTCAGAAATGGGGAGATGACGCCCAGGCAGAAGATTCCCCAGATATTTACTCACAGTCACCTAAAGCAATCAAGGCATTGAGCCATAGGAGAAAGGAAAGGGAGAAGGTAGTCTACTTACTAATCTTTACAGTCTTATTTTTATAGGTTTTTTTTAAAAAAATACTGAAACCATAGTAATCCTTCTTCAACGATGTTCTCTTTAATATGACCAACACACACAACTTTTTATGATCATGGGGGGAAACCACATTGTTTTTCCCTAATATGAGGGAATTTGGGCATACAAAATGAATATAAGACTGTAGCTATATCTGTTAGAATAACTACTAGTTATAGAAACTTTAAAAAATAGTGTTCCTGTTGAGACCAGATAAAGAACTACCCAACTAAGGCAAACCATCCCACAGAATCATGAGAGAGAATGCAGTGGTTGCTTTAAGCTACTAAATTCTGGACAGGTTTGTTACACAGCAAAAACTAATACAGGTGATTCCTAACACGGTGGTAGAACTTGAAGAAGGCGCCCCCCCCCGCCATCTCTTCGGTGACCAAGGACATTGGAGAGCATAATGTGGCTTAGAATAAAGGAAGATGAAGGGGAGAACTTAAAATGAAGGACAACGCCCAAGTGATCCAGGTTAAGGGGAAAAAAAATGTTGAACCAGAAATGAAATAAGGAGACCTGAAAATCATGCAGCATATGGATAAAAAGTCAATACACAAAGCCAAGTTCAGTTGAATTAAGTAATAATAGTTCCTGTTTCTCTAAAATCTGTAGCAGAGATATTAGTTGCCTGCTCACTTTTTTTTTTACTAGTATAATCACATAAATATATTTTTAGACTACATTTCCCAGCCTCTCCTACAGATGGGGAGGCCACTGGTATAGAAACTAAAGTCATTGGTGGGACTTTCAGGAACAGTTATTAAAGGGAGCTTACAGCTGGCAGCCCCCATTTACCTTTTCTCTCCCTCCTTGCAATGTGGTTGTAAAGGCAGGAGTTCCATGAACCACCTTGTGATCATGAGGGCAGGGCCACACCCTGTGAAATGTGTAATTGAAGGAAGTCTGGGTACCTGATGATGTTGTGGAGTCTCTACCATACCTTTCCCAGACTGGTCACTGCTGAACATTTTATTTTATTTTATTTTCAGTTGTGGGGGTACATATGAAAATTGCATGCAGGTGAGGTTTGGGCTTCTAGCCGGCCCTCTCTCCCTCTGATAGTGGACCAGATATGCTGAACTTTTTATTATGTGACAGAAAAATAGGCCTTCTCTGGGCCTATCTAGGATTTCAAACAAAACACAATCCAGACCTAAGTGATTGTTCTTCCTGATCCCCGAGAGCTGCCCCTGCCATTTCCACCACAAGACCATAGTCATGTGGACTAACATTTTGGATCCTTAAATACCAACATATTGTTTTGAATTCCAAACACCAGCCTGTAGTGTCATGGAGCTCCAGCTTGCACCAGTGCTGAATCATACTTTGCGGAACCTAAGGTCAGCTTATCCCGTCACGGCTCCCATATCTGTTGTCCCTAGACACCACCCAACATGCAAACCCCTCTTGTCACCCATCATCTCCCCGTCTCATCCCCACACTGTTACGGGCTCTGTCCTGTTGACACTAACCTCCTATGTTCTACCCCCTTCACACGTACCCCATTGTCTGGTAAACAACCCACCCATCTTAATTCATGCCAAAAGTCTCTTCTTCTATCTCTCAAACTTCATTGAAACTAGGCTCTCTCCCAGAGACACTGCTCCATATGCAGCCTTATCAAATGAAAGCCACTCATCTTTCCACACTCCACACATGGCAGGGTCTAGGGTTGAGAGTGGCATTCTCCTTGTTCCACTCTTGTTCACAATCTCTTATTTCTCTACTTCATTGTGAAAGCCAATGTTCCTTGGAAATGCAGTTAAATCGTTCTGCAGCCCTAGGTCCTTCCTAGCCATTGTCATCAACAGCATGGTGATGCCTATGCAAATGCCCATCCAAGATCTTAGCCTCCTGGTTCTTTGACCTCTATCCCAGTTACCATCACCTCCTCCTCAGTCACTAACCATAGCTACCCCTGGGACTTGATCATTGCCTCTGAACTCTTGAACTCCAACCTCCCACCCTCTGGTTTACCTGCCTTTCTCCTTTTTATCCTCCCCCTATATTTACTCTTTGACCTTTTAGAAACCCCCATTCCTTTGACATCTCCATTTTTCCCCCATCTCTTGGCTTCCTCCTGGCTTCACTTTCCTCTCTGATAAAACATAGATAGTCTAGGTCTGATAAAACATAGATAGTCTAGGTCTGATAGACCTAGACTGCAAAGTCCATTATCCCTTCAAAGACACTGTTCCTAATGCCCCTTAAGGCCCACGATCTTGCGTCCTTCTACTGCCATTAGGCAGAGCTACTTTCTCTTAAGAACACCACCTCTAGTCTTTTCAGTCTGAACACTAATCCTAACTAAGGAATTAACCCAAAACTATTCAGAGTGAGGGGGCCCCAGGGAGATATACTTTTGATTACATAACTCACTCCTGGGGCAAAGAACTCTGAACCATGTTACTATAACCTTAAGACTGGTCTCATGACTTTGTCACATCTAAAAAATCCTTGAATGTCCTTTCATTATCACTGAAGAGCAAAGCAAGAAAGTGACACTTGAGCACTGGCCCCACACAGAATCACTGTTCATTGCTTAAGAAAACAAGGAGACGATTAGAAATTTGAGCACTTGTGGGATATTTGACAATATTAAGCAATATTTTTAGGTGGGATAATGGTACCGTGGTTATGCTTTTTTATTCAGAAAAAAAAGAATTTTTTTCTTTAAAGAAACTTCCTGAAATATTTGATGAAATTGCATGATGTCTGGGATTTGCTTTAAAATAACATGGGAGAGGGGAAGTCGATGAGAGTATCTAGAACAGGAGATGAACTTTTCTGGAATGAGCTGTATAGCAAATATTTCAAGCTTTGTGGGCTAGACACCTTTGTCACCATTACTCAACTCTGCCATTGTAGCACAAGAGCAGCTATAGACAATATGCAAAGTCAGAAGTTCATGAACCACCTTGTGATCATGAGGGCAAGACCTACACCCTGTGAAATAGGAGTGTAGTTTTAATAAAACTTTATTTTAAAGCATGTAGGTGGCCAAATTTGGCCCACAGGTTGTAGTTTGTCAACCTCTGATCTAGAGGAAACAAGATAAGCCATGAATTGATCACCAGTGACATTGAGTGTTGAGTACATGGGGTCTCGTAATACCAATTGGTCTACTTTTCTATATGCATGAAATTCCCCACAGTAAAACATTTTTTAAAAACAAGAAAATGTATTATACATTTTTTTAAAAGATTACCATCTCAACCTCTTAAAATAAAACGATTTAGCGCATGAGGCGTTAAGCCATCAGCTGTACGTAAAATGTCCTCCTAGTAGTCACCTAGTGGCTCAGAAATCAACATACCACTGACCTCTTGGTTTTCCAAACCAAGATGAGGCAGGAGCTATTGGTTCCCGAGCCAGCATTGCTACCAGCTGCACAATTCTGGGCAGGCTTGGGGCCGCAGGCTTGTAACCTGCAAGCTGCACTGATCTTACTATTCCATGGTGTATACATACCACATTTTTCTTATTCATTCGTCAGTTGATGGGCACTTAGACTGATTCCATATCTTTGTTATTGTGAATTGTGCTGACATAAACATACAAGTGCAGGTGTCTTTTTTGTGTAATAATTTTTTGCCTCTGGGTAGATGCCCAGTAAACCACTTGTACCCCTAAAGTTATTGAAATAAAAACAAAATTAAAAAATTGAAATAAAAAAAAATTCATTGAGATCAGGTGCCATGACTCATACCTGAAATTCCAGCACCTTGGGAAGCCGAGGCAGGAGGATTGCTTGAGCCCAGGAGTTCCAGACTAGCCTGGACAACATAGTGAGACCTCACCTCTACAAAACATTAAAAAATTAGCAGAGCGAAGGGGTGTACGCCTGTAGTCTCAGCTACTTGGGAGGCTGAGGCTGAAGGATCTCCTGAGCCCAAGCCTGTGGTGAGTCGTAATTGTGCCTTTGCACTCCAGCCTGGGCTACAAGAGTGAGATCCCAACTCAAAAAACCCCAAAACATCGATCTATAGGAGGGTCACTTTAACTGTCTGACGAGAGAGTTAAAGATTACAATCACAACCTCTTAAAATAAAACTATTTGGCGCTTGAAGCATTAAGCCATCAGTCCCCTCCTACACAGCACAGCACAGTATTTAAGAGCAGAGCTGTGGGATTGCCTAGTGA